AATTATAAGGTTGTGATTTATTAGCATTTTTTATTTGAATGGGTTAGTTATGAATAATCTATGTATTTAGATCGATTTACCTCCTAATAATTTTTACTGACTATGGTCATAATACGAAATATATCTAATACACGCCATATAAATATAAATAAATAAATAAATATATATATATATATATATATATATATATATATATATATATATATATATATATTCAAATGAGGACATGACTTCCTGTGCAATTGGTGCGGATTGCACAATTAGGTATGCATAGATGTATCACACAGTGACACAGTGTACGAAAATGCACCATAGTGAAGTGCACAAATGCACCAAAAAATGCATTATGCATCATATCTAATGATGTATTTTCATACACTTTGTGATGCATTTATGCATACCTGATAGTGTGTGGCCAAACGACTATCCGACAACATATATATTATTTATTTATTTATTTATTTATTGAATTACACATTTACACACTTTTTGTGGTGTGGGATTTGATAAGTGAGTGGCGTGATAGATAACTTTAACCACCTTATCTATGGGTTGTACTTAATTAACCATTTAGTTTTTTTATCCCTTATGCAGTTATGCCTTAGTAGTTGAGCTGTTGTGATTGTCCTATAACTTCACTATCTTGTCTTAAATTGATATAAATAAGCAATATAAACCGGATGTAGTTATTAAAGTAGAGGTATATATTAACACTATTTTAGATTTGCCAATCAAATAAAATAAACGTCACACTTTGTTAATAATATAAATTCTACAAATATGAATTTTTTTAAAATTATATACTAGTATTTAAAAAAATATTTTAATATAATTAAAATTTTAACATAAGTATTAATATTAGTCACATATTTTTGCATATCACACATATAACATACTAGTAATGATAATCTATACTATATATAAAAACAAAATTCTGAAATTTTAACTTCCCGCCCAATTCTTAAAAAATCTCTCTTCCTAATAAACTATATTGATTTCTACTTTCCCATTCGTACAATAATTCTGCGTTAAAATTCTATTCTAATATTATAAAATAGTGTAATACAATCTATACTATATATAAAAACAAAATCCTGAAATTTTAACTTCCCGCCCAATTCCTAAAAAATCTCTCTTCCTAATAAAATATATTGATTTCTACTTTCCCATTCGTACAATAATTCGGCGTTAAAATTCTATTCTAATATTATAAAATAGTGTAATACAATCTATACTATATACAAAAACAAAATCATGAAATTTTAACTTCCCGCCCAATTCCTAAAAAATCTCTCTTCCTAATAAAATATATTGATTTCTATTTTCCCTTTCGTACAATAATTCGGCGTTAAAATTCTATTCTAATATTATAAAATAGTGTAATACAATCTATACTATATACAAAAACAAAATCCTGAAATTTTAACTTCCCGCCCAATTCCTAAAAAATCTCTCTTCCTAATAAAATATATTGATTTCTACTTTCTCATTCGTACAATAATTCGGCGTTAAAATTCTATTCTAATATTATAAAATAGTGTAATACAATCTATACTATATATAAAAACAAAATCCTGAAATTTTAACTTCCCGCCCAATTCCTAAAAAATCTCTCTTCCTAATAAAATATATTGATTTCTACTTTCCCATTCGTAAAATAATTCGGCGTTAAAATTCTATTCTAATATTATAAAATAGTGTAATACAATCTATACTATATACAAAAACAAAATCCTGAAATTTTAACTTCCCGCCCAATTTCTAAAAAATCTCTCTTCCTAATAAAATATATTGATTTCTTCTTTCCCATTCGTACAATAATTCGGCGTTAAAATTCTCTTCTAATATTATAAAATAGTGTAATACAATCTATATCTATACTATATATAAAAACAAAATCCTGAAATTTTAACTTTCCGCCCAATTCCTAAAAAATCTCTCTTCCTAATAAACTATATTGATTTCTGCTTTCCCATTCGTACAGTAATTCTGCGTTAAAATTCTATTTTAATATTATAAAATAGTGTAATACAATCTATACTATATATAAAAACAAAATCCTGAAATTTTAACTTTCCGGCCAATTCCTAAAAAATCTCTCTTCCTAATAAACTATATTGATTTCTACTTTCCCATTCGTACAATAATTCTGCGTTAAAATTCTATTCTAATATTATAAAATAGTGTAATACAATCTATATCTATACTATATATAAAAACAAAATCCTGAAATTTTAACTTCTCGCCCAATTCCTAAAAAATCTCTCTTCCTAATAAAATATATTGATTTCTACAATAATTCTGGGTTAAAATTTTATATCTATTTTATATATCAGTGTTGCAAAAATCGTGTCGCTGGTCGCGGCGAGGAAGGAAGGAATTGGCCTCCTCACCGGCTGAACCGGCCTTTAATTTTTTTTTTTTTTTAAATTGTAAAGTGTCAAAAGTTCGGCAAGGTATAACTTTTGACTCCGTTGTCCGTTTTGGACAAATGTTTTTTCGAAATCGCGTATTTTTTCGAGATCTATCCACCGCAAACAGCTGTAGGCGGTTTGGCCCACCAATTTCTAAATAAAATACTTTATTAAAGTGTTTCTAAGAAAAAACTATGAGAACCTTATGTTTTGTTAATGAATTTTTAAAATTTTTAATTAAACAATTGTCCCGTGCATTATTTAATAATCTTTCTTTATAATTGGTCAAATTATTTAATTATGGTAAATTTGGGAATAATTAATGATGGTAATAGAAATCCTAGAAGAATATAGAATTGAACAATATTTAATTATTGTTATATTATTATTGTGACTCACGGAATACAAGAGTTAATGCCATTTTTGGTCCTAGACTTATTGGGGCATTGACACTTTTCATCCTCCATAATAAAAATTGCTACTTAGTAGCCACTGTTATTGATCGTTGGACAGTTTTGATCCTCCGTCAATGACGCCTTTTGTTGACCGTGAATTAGAAGAGTTTTTCTGTCTTTTTATGTTTTAATCCTTGTATTTCTCCATCCATTGGTCACTGCTACATCCATTTCTTCAAACTGAGGTTATCCGCTTCAGTCCTTTCTAACATTAAGAAACCATCTTCACCAACTAACAATCATGAATTTTACATTTGACATCAATCTCAAGATAATGGAAACAAGTGCAGTTGGAATAGAAAGGGCGTTAGTCCATGCCTGTGGAAATTATGTCGAGCATACAACATAACTAGCAAAGTCAGGAATATCACCCAACCCCTCCCTTAATCTTTCTGCATCAACTATAATAGGTATGCTCCTACTCTTTGCCTCCTGCACTATAATCAAAGCAGTCTCATGCAGCATTCCATCTAAGTAGACAATATTTACTCCAAGCGCTGAAGGCAATTTTGATTTGGGTATGTAGACCCTCAGATATCATGGGTGGATATCCTGGAGTGAAAATGCACGTGCGAGTTTTTTTTTTTTTTTGGTTGTCAACAATGACATATGTGAATGGTGAGTTTCCTCATTTGGACACCACCATAAAAGATGTATCAACACCATCCCTTTCAAGCTCATCAAGTATTCTTTCGCCATGCGAGTCATCAGCAACCTTAGATATGATCCTTGGATTAAGACCAAGACGAATGTTATCATCCAGGTTTTATCAAAGCATTGCCAGTGTTACCACCTCCTTGAACCTCAAAGCTGGTGCTCCGAATTTTATCATCCGGGTTGGGGAATGAAGCTACAACAGCCAGGAAGTCAACACCGGCCATTCCAACACCTCAGACAATGCGATTTTTGGGGAGCGGCGAATTCCACATTTTCTGCTTGAAACTTCAATGAATTTCAGTTAGAATAACAGAGTTTTTGAGGTTGTGCACCAAGTAGTTGTGGTCAGAGAGAGAGAGAGAGAGAGAGAGAGAGATGGGAAGGATATTTGTGGTCAATATGGAAGGGAGGACTTATAGGTGCAAATTCTACATCACGTCATCTATAACTACAACTGCTATTTACCATAGGAGGGTTCGACGACCTGCGGCCCTCTCTGCTTCGCCGGAACCAAAAACCACCGGTGAAGGCCCCAACCTCGGCGGATCTGTTGCTGCACCGCCAGATCTGCCTTACTGGTCCGTCGCCGGAAGGAGTTACTGCCTCGTATGCTCGCTGTCGTACCCACAACTCGCCGGAGAAGAACCTCGCTGATACTCACTACCGACGGTTACTACTTAGCCGCCAAGTCTCGCCATCTCGCCTCACAGGAGTCACAGCAGCGCTGGTCTAAACAAGATTAGAAGAATAAGACATAAAAAGACAGAAAAAGCCCTTCTAATTCACGGTCAACAAACGACTTCATTGACGGAGGATCAAAACTATCCAACGACCAATAACAGTGTCTACTAAGAGGCAATTTTTATTATGGAGGATGAAAAGTGTCAATGCCTCAATAAGTCTAGGACCAAAAATGGCATTAACTCCGGAATACAATACAAGAATATTTAATTATGGTTATATTATTATTGTGCCTCACGACCATTATATACTAACAGTACTTGAAAAGAAACTAATAATAATAATAATATAATAATAATAATAATAATAATATAAGTGGTAATAATAATATCTAAAAGTAATTAAGTGTTAATAATAATAGTAAGAATATTAACGTAAGAGTTGTAACATAGAATAAATTGTAATAATTAATAACTATAGTCTAGGATTAAATTTGGAGTTGTCAGGAAAGATAAACGACCTCTGGTGAAATTAACTCTTAAATAATTATATATCGATTTAAATATTCTTAATATATTACAACAATTCCATTCCGTGCATCGCACGGGTGAAAATACTAGTTTTTTTAAAAAATAAAAAAAGACGGTTAATAACTGTGGGGCTGTGGGCCCGTGATAATATATGAGAAGTCCAACGACGTTGATTTAAAACGACGGTGGTCATCAAAGCAGCTTAACATCTTCCCTAAATAAAATATTTCTCGAAATATAATTGCACAGATATAGATTTACACAATAATAATAATTCAATTCCAGGTTTCCAGCTTTACATCTCACTCTCCCTAGCTCCCGTCCCCTCTCTCTTCTCTCTCTTAGGGTTTTCAGGAGCCGCCACTTTTGCTCTGTTCGATCTCAAATCGTGGTGTCTCCTTGCATTCCACTCTCAAGCTTTCAGGTAATTCGCTCGCTTTGTCACTCAATTGATTATGGATTCATATTTTCCTGTGTATTGTTTCGATGCTTGATCTATGCTCTTGGCTGATCGGTTGTTTTTTCCATTACGCTTTAAGCAATGTCGAAGTCCTTCATTTTTTTTTATTTTTATTTTTTGGGTGGGGGTGGTGGTTGTCTTCAGTAGGTACGCTTTCAACTGCGTGTAACCGGCACAGTTTTTTAGTAGTGGATTTCAATTTTGTTCGATTTTTAAAAAGTTGTCTTATGAATTTAGTTAGATCGGGGATATTTGAGCGAATTTTAATGCATTTGAAGTTCGTAGAGTTCTGAGATTTCTGTTGTGGTCGGATTTTTGGTATTTTTCATTTTTTGCATCCATGTTCTTGTCTTCTGCCATTTTTGGTTTTCTGTGGAATTACATTGTCAAATTCTGCTGTCTGATAGGGCACTTAAGCCTCAGTGTTTGTAGTGATCTGCCTAATTTAAACATTCAAAGATAATGATTTTTAGGATTTTTTTTCTGCATTTTGCTAATATAGGCATATTATTTTTTTGTTATAAATATAAATCTGTAACAATTTACTCTGTCATGTGTCACACTCAATAAGGATTTTTTTTCTCGGAATTCTTCTTTTGGTTGCTGCCAGAAAACAACTGTGTTTTTATGTATAGTCTCGAAGACAATTTATTTGTATGAGCATTGAGTTCTATGTTCTTCTCAATGTGGGGACATTTGGCAATTCTTTACGGCTATTGTTTGGTTACCTTAGAAACTTAACTCTCCAAAAAAAGGTTTTCTAGGAAGGTCAAAAGGTTTGTGTAGCCTCTTGACATCGAACAACTTCTTAGAAGGCGAGGAATGATTTTTGCCCCCTTACACTTGTATACTCGTGTTTTAACTTCAAAATATAATGTCCTTGTTCTGTAATGTATTCTATGGAAACTTAAAATGCATTTTGTTTGTAGATTTTCTGAATATAATATAATATATAGTGTATTTGATTGTTGACAGAAATAGTATGGCAATGGAAGTCACTCAGTTTCTTTTGAATGCACAATCAATCGATTCAACAATTCGGAAACATGCAGAAGAAACTCTCAAACAATTTCAGGAGCAAAACCTTCCTGGTTTCCTCTTGTCGCTCTCTGGGGAGCTTTCCAATGAGGGAAAGCCAGTTGATAGCCGCAAGTTAGCAGGTTTGATACTTAAAAATGCCTTGGATGCCAAGGAACAACATAGGAAATATGAGCTTGTGCAAAGGTGGTTATCACTAGATGCGGGTGTGAAGACCCAGATTAAGAAATGTTTGCTACAGACACTTTCTTCTCCTGTTCTTGATGCTCATTCTACTGCTTCACAAGTGATTGCAAAGGTTGCTGGTATTGAGTTGCCACAAAAGCAATGGCCTGAGCTGATAGGAGAACTGTTGTCAAATGTTCATCAGGTACCAGCTCATGTCAAGCAAGCTACTCTGGAAACCTTGGGGTATTTATGTGAGGAAGTATCACCTGATGTTGTGGACCAGGATCAAGTAAATAAAATACTTACGGCTGTAGTTCAGGGAATGAATGCAAATGAAGTGAATAATGATGTTAGGCTCGCTGCTACCAGGGCATTGTACAATGCTCTTGGCTTTGCTCAAGCAAATTTTAACAATGATATGGAGCGGGATTATATTATGAGAGTTGTTTGTGAGGCTACTCTTTCACCAGAAGTGAAAATTCGACAGGCTGCTTTTGAATGTTTGGTGTCTATTTCATCAACATACTATGAGAAGTTAGCTCCATACGTGCAGGATATTTTTAATATTACAGCCAAGGCTGTAAGGGAGGATGAGGAGCCTGTTGCTCTTCAAGCCATTGAGTTTTGGAGTTCAATATGTGATGAGGAAATTGATATTCTAGAAGAGTTTGGTAGTGATTGCACTGCAGACTCTGATGTTCCATGTTTTTTTTTCATCAAGCAAGCTCTTCCGATCCTTGTTCCTATGCTATTAGAGACACTTCTTAAGCAAGAGGAAGATCAAGATCAAGATGAAGGTGCTTGGAATCTTGCAATGGCTGGAGGAACTTGCCTTGGATTGGTTGCTCGTACAGTGGCAGATGATATCGTCCAATTGGTAATGCCATTCATTGAAGAGAATATTTCAAAACCTGATTGGAGGCAAAGAGAGGCTGCAACCTATGCTTTTGGTTCCATTTTGGAAGGTCCTTCGCCCGATAAATTAACACCTATTGTTAATGTTGCTCTAAATTTCATGCTTGCTGCTTTGACAAATGATCCCAATAGTCATGTAAAGGATACAACGGCATGGACCTTGGGAAGAATATTTGAATTTCTTCATGGATCAACAATTGAGACACCTATTATTAACCAAACAAACTGTCAGCAGATTATTACCGTACTTCTTCAGAGCATGAAGGATGCGCCAAATGTTGCCGAGAAAGCTTGCGGTGCTCTATATTTTCTTGCCCAGGGTTATGAGGATGTGGGCTCGTTGTCTCCATTGACTCCTTACTTCCAAGAAATTGTCCAGTCTCTTCTTACAGTTACTCATCGTGAAGATGCAGGTGAATCACACTTGAGGACTGCTGCATATGAGACACTGAATGAAGTGGTCAGGTGTTCAACTGAGGAAACAGCTTCTATCGTTTTGCAACTAGTTCCAGTCATGATGTTGGAGCTCCATAAGACTCTTGAGGCACAGAAGCTATCTTCCGATGAGAAAGAGAAGCAGGGTGAGTTGCACGGTCTTCTTTGTGGGTGCTTACAGGTCATTATTCAGAAACTAGGAGGACATGAGCCAACAAAATATGTATTCATGCAGTACGCAGATCAGATTATGAATCTTTTTCTCAGAGTTTTTGCATGTAGAAGTGCTACAGTGCATGAGGAAGCTATGCTTGCCATTGGAGCCCTTGCTTATGCAGCAGGCTCTGATTTTGCCAAGTACATGCCAGAGTTCTTCAAGTACCTAGAAATGGGTCTTACGAATTTTGAGGAGTACCAAGTCTGTGCTGTCACAGTAGGTGTTGTGGGTGACATATGCAGGGCTTTGGAGGACAAGGTTTTGCCTTATTGTGATGGTATAATGACCCAGCTTCTCAAAGACTTATCAAGCAACCAGCTCCACCGTTCTGTGAAACCTCCAATCTTTTCTTGCTTTGGAGACATTGCTTTGGCAATAGGAGAGAATTTTGAGAAGTACTTACTGTATGCTATGCCTATGCTACAGAGTGCTGCTGAGTTGTCTGCCCACACAACGGGTGCTGATGAAGAGATGATAGAGTATACCAATCTTCTGAGAAATGGTATCTTGGAGGCATACTCTGGGATTTTTCAGGGATTTAAGCATTCTCCTAAGACCCAGCTACTGATCCCTTATGCACCCCACATTTTGCAGTTCCTGGATAGCATTTACATGGGAAAGGACATGTGAGTAATTGCAAATTTCATTTTGTTATTCTGATTCTTTATTCTACAATAACCTTGATATTGTTTTGTTTTGTTGTTTTTTCCACACTAATTTTCTCATCTATTTTTGATATCTTAGGGATGAAGTTGTGATGAAAACAGCTATTGGAGTCCTTGGTGACCTAGCAGATACACTGGGCAGCAATGCTGCTGCTTTGATTCAACAATCTCTATCAAGCAGAGACTTTTTGAATGAATGTTTGTCCTCCTCAGATCATTTGATCAAGGAATCTGCTGAATGGGCCAAGTTGGCCATCAGTCGTGCCATTTCTGTTTGAGGCTTTGTCCACTTGGTACATAATTTTTTTTCCTTTTAGAAGTCCCTGCATGCATATGGTTGTGTCAGAGTCAAACATTGCATTCATGTGTCGAGTCATTGCCATTTCCCGACAACGGCTAGCAAGTAGCATTCCAGTTGTCACTAACAAAACCACCAGCATCATGCGTCGGATTCTTTATTTGCCCACAAGGGATTGGGGTGAATGTGGCTTCTCAGAAATGGTCGAAGGCCTTCCATGAGAACTCGTGATCAATTCCTTCAAAATTGGTTGGCGTGGAAGGTTGCACTAACATGTTCAAAAGTTTGGGCTGCTGTATGCTGGTGTTTTTGTTTTCAACCGTAAATGTGGTCATCATTGCAGAAGCACCCCATACCATTCTGATGCTGCTGTTTTATCCAGGGGTTTAAGGTTGGAAGTATAATTCCCAAGTTTTGGTGCTCTGGCACTTTAAGCCCAACTTTTCTTAAATATCCTCCATACATTTTTTTTTTTTTGTCGGTCTACCCTTGTATTTGTCATAGTCAATTGCATCCTGGTTTTCAGGTCGGATTGTACACCATTTCATCCGTGTCAATTTACCTACTCTTTAGTTAGGGCATTTGTTATAATGTTATGCATCATCATTTATATATATCTTTTCTCTATTTACAGCCAGTAATTTGTTTTTCTTGTTTCTTACTTTTCCCCTGTTGAATGATATGAAAACACGCTTGAAACGATCTTGCACACAACTAATGGAATAAGCTATTGCAACTTGTCAAGTATACCAATTGGACTAAAAATATATAAAGTGCAGTATTAATATCATTTTCTTTAGATTATACTCCAAAAATGAAACTAGAACAATGTTAAGGCAATGGAGAAGTGCTAAAAGAAAGAAACTTTTAGGTTGCATGATCTAAAGTTCTTCCCTCATATAACCTGGACCAGGTTTGAAGGGGTCTGACTCAATGTATGCCTCTGGTCGATAAAACCCAGCATCATTCATACGATTACTAAGGACATGAAGCATGGCTTTCTTTGAACCATACTCATCGCGGTTGTTCTCAACATATTCCTTTGCCTCTGCAGCGATCTCATTGACAAAATCAAACCGGTTCTCTTCCGATAGCAATAGCCTCTCAATGTCCATTGTCAACAACTTCCCCTCTCTCCTTATCTTCCTCACGTGCTCCTCCAAGAAAGGAATTCTTTCCAATCTGTAGTCCATCTTATCATCCACCCTCGTCTGTGATAAACAAGTGAAACAAACCTATCGGGTTAGTGACAACCAACATATAATGATACAATCTGCTATTTCTCATCCACCCAATATTCGCAATTTCTGTGGTCTGATGGGTGCACTACACACACCTTGAAGCTGATATCTTTGAAGATCTATTAAACTATTGAGTTCCTTCTAAGCCATATATGATGAAACTTGAAAGCCTGTTGGGTTAGGAACAACAAACATATAATGATACAATTCGCGATTTCTATGGTATGCTCTACACACACCTTGAAACTGATATCTTTGAAGATCTATTAAACTTTCGAGTTCCTTCCAAAGCCATATATGAATAACGAAAGCATAGTGATTGCTCAATGTTCTGTAACTCGAAAATAACAAAACTTTGAGCAATCCACAGAATCATTAATCGTTGTGATTGCTCAAAGTTCCGTAACTCGAAAATAATCTCATCCACAGCTATGCATCAATGAGTCCAACCAGAAACTCGCAGACTAGATTACTTCCACAGAATCATCAATCTTTTTTCCAATTTCAAACTTTTACTGTCTTGTTAAGATCATCTTCAGCATACAAATGCACAAAACTAAAATAAACAGCTAATATATGTCAACACTAATGCATTCTTGAAGCCTATTTTCTTCGCATCATAACATATTTCAGTATAAACACTAATCAACAATTACTTTCAGGAAATCCAAAGAAAAACTGAGAGAGGGGAGTGTGTTTGTTGGCTTACCAATTTCCTTCGCCTCCATACTCTACGGCCTCGGCCTTCATTTTGCGAGTTGGAACTCTTCTTTTTCTGAGTAATTAAAGGAAACAATAACTAAGATTTCTCAATTTAAAAAAGCAACAAATACTGAAAATGAAGATAATTCACCTGCGACAGAACCACAAAGTTATTGACACGTCCTGGATTTTCGAGCTTAACACCAATTTTCTGCATTTCATAGATAAATAATCAGTACGGCTTCTCAACTATCACAACCTTGCTGAGAGTCTCCATGAAAGAGAGCTTAAACACCTCAAATTTCGATTTTTTCGCAAAATTTCTTAGCTAGAAAAGTTAGAGCTCGGAAAGTAGAAATTAGTTTACGGGGAATGTTTGTAGCGTTGAGAAGCCTCTGGTGATCGGAGTCGTTAATACGGCCATTGTTGCGTTCGCCGATCGCTCTTTTCCGGCTCCGGCTTTATCCTCTCAAAGTTGGAAGTGGATTATCGAGTGTCAAGAAGATAAAAGCGATATAACAAATGGGCCGGATGGTAGCCCATTTTAGTATTATGGGCCTGGACTAAATGGCCCATGAATTGACCCGATATTTCAAAACCCCACCCGCTTAGTAGCTATGGATAATCTCTCTTCTCTAATCTCCATTCTCTGTTCTCTCCCACTTCTCTCTCTCAGAGCTTTTGACTGCAACTACACAAATGGCGTCTCTTCTCTCCCCCTGGACTTCTACCTCTCTTAATCACTGCTGCAGGTGATTCTCTACTTTTTCTCTCTCTTGTTTGTGATTGAATTTCCAATTTATTTTGTTTACTTTTCTCCTTTTTTTTTTTTTTTTTTTTTTTTTTTTTTTTGCATGTTTTTTTCACTGTTTCTGCGGTATATGTATTGTTGAATTATCAGGACAAATGAAGCATGCCGAAGCACTCAAACCATATTGTCTTTCTATAGCTTTCGCTTTAGACAAAGGAGCAATGTTAAGCTTTGCTTTCAGCTTAGTAGAGCCTTTTCGGGCTCTGGTGTTTTGAATCCAGCTGCTCCAGAAAGGTATCAACTTTTGCTACAGTTGTGTGTATATGTGAATTTTCATTTATTGGGAGCTCTACTTTTATTTATGGCACATTTTAACCATTTCTAATATCTGGATAACTCTGCATTTGGTTCTGATAATTAATCATTTGTGGGAGAAGCTTGATGCTGCTAATTGGATTTTTCTTTTCCAGTGTATTGTGGTTGCTATAAGAATATAAGATCATGAAAATCTGTGTGGGCTGTTCACTGAGTTAAAGCTTACACAACACCCCGTATTAGTATTTGTTCTAGTTGTTTATATGCGGATGTTCTTATTGTAGGTCTAGAAATATGGGGAATTGCTTAAAAAGTGATATGAGCTATATTAACGATCTTGAAGAGCAGCTGCATGAACTGTTTAATGAAGTAAGTACCATGATAAAGACAGGAAAGAGAGAAGATGCTGTTGATCTACTTCAGGCAAATTATGAAGCTGCTAAAGAACAGATTGATTCTGGTTTCACTGGAATAGAAGAGGCTGCTGTTCTCGATGTAATAGCCTTGGGCCACATGGCCCTTGGAGACCTGAACAAAGTTGGATCCGTGCTCGATCTGGTAATTTCTTTTATCCAAAATAGCTCGTCTTTCTGAATTTTCTTCCTCCCTGGTGTCTTTTTTATTCTTCTCTATCTATTTCACTTCCTGTTCTTCTTTATTGGTTGATGGGGGATTGTTTTTGGCAGTTGAGCAAGATTGTTGAAGGCTTGAAAAACGATGAACCTCTTCTGGACTCAATACTGATGCATATGGGAAGTGTGTATGAGAAAATGGAAGAGTTTGAAATGTCCTTCTCGTCATATAACAGAGCACTTGCTATTATGGAGAGAGAATATGGTGAGCCTTTTGTTAATTTCTGAATTCAATAGCATGCTGTTCTCGTGTTTTCTTTGGTGTCGCTAGCAGAAGGAAATTCACAATAATAAACAACTTTTCCAACTTGGCAGGGGATGCCAGTTCTTATCTTATCATTCCATTGTTAGGGATGGCAAAAGCTCTAGTTTGTTTAGGTAGAGCCACAAAAGCTATAGAAACATATCATCGTGCAATTTCAATATTGGAATCTGGCAAGGGTGAAGAAAATGAGGAATTGGTGGTTCCGTTATTTGCCTTAGGCAACCTTTTACTGAAGGAAAGAAGAACAGCAGATGCTGAAACTGCTTTTGGAAGGTTATATCTTTTCTTGCATAGTTTCTGGTCGTGTTTGGTTATGTGTTATTTATTCTTTGTAATCCTTAATTACCTTCTCCCTTTTGTCTTGGCTTGATGTAGAATTATAAATATCTATATGAAGTTATACGGGGAAAATGATGTAAAAGTTGGATTGGCATTGTGTTCTCTTGCAGATGCGAAATGTAGTAAAGGTGAACCTTAAAATTTTCTTATTTCCCGTGTTCTGAAATGCAAACTATGGGCTAATGTGTAACTTGGAGGGATTGTGATTCATCTCGCTGGTTTTGGATTGATACAGGAAACATCGATGAAGCCATCGTTCTATATAGAAAGGCTCTTCAGATTCTCAAAGATTCTGAATGTGCAGCAGACAACAAAGTTATGGAGAAGATGAGAGTAGACTTGGCGGAGTTACTTCATTTAGTAGGAAGGTAAATATCGTGCGTTACTTAGAGCGACTGTGATTTTAATTTTTAAGTAGATATATGGCTAGGTCGTGAAGTTCTATTGAAAACGCATATATCTATTGAAGTAACTTCACAACCTAGCCATATGACTTTAAGTCTGTATATTCTTTTTTTATATAACAACAATACATTAATTACAACTTTTCTTTCAGGGAGGGTGAAGGCCGGGCCCTTTTGGAGGAGTGCTTGTTGATCACCGAAAAATTCAACGGGAAAGAGCATCCCAGCTCTGTTACTCATCTAGTAAATCTTGCTACTTCTTATTCTCGGTCCAAAAATTATGCTGAAGCTGAGAAGTTGCTACGTATTAGTTTGCGAATTATGCTGAAGACACTGCCACCTGATGATCAATCCATTAGCTTCCCGATGCTGCATCTTGCAGTTGCTCTTTACAGTTTAAACCGGACAGATGAAGCTGAGAAGTATGCATTGGAGGTTTTACGTATTCGTGAAAAGGCATTTGGAAAAGATTCTCTCCCTGTTGGTGAGCACATGTTGATTCCCGACAATAATGCTAACATTTTTGTTAGTAGGAAATTAATACCACTTTTTATCTTTCAACTATAGTAACAATTTCGCATTTCCTTGACATTTTGAATTGACCAAATTTAGTCCAAAATATCTGTAATACCCTCACCTTTTGGACATTTCACCAAAATTCACCCTTCTACAAGTGAGGGTATTTTGGACTAAATTTGGCCGATTCAATAAGTGGAAATGCCTTCTCAGCGGGGTGCTAACGTCTAAATTGTTCCCGGGTACATTGACTGCAATGGCATTTGTAGCAGCCTAGACCTCAATATACTTCTGCTTTATGGTAACCTTAAAAATGCGTTGTGATGCAGGGGAGGCTCTTGACTGTCTAGTTTCAATTCAGAGCAAACTAGGAAAAGATGACGACGAGTTACTGGACCATCTGAATAGAGTTTTGAAAATTCAAGAGAAAGCTTTTGGTGGCGACAGTGAGGAAGTTATGGAAACACTCAAAAAGATTGTACATTACATGACCAGGATTGGGTTGAGACACGAAAAACTCCCTCTGCAAAGAAGATTGTCCCGTCTCAGAGATAAATACAAACAAGCTGTTAAATTTTAAAGGTCACTCCCCTTTGCCACCGTTTTTAGACACGTAGCCATGGCAATGCAATAAACAAGGCCAAAACACCGTATTGCCAGAGCAATTCAACGCCCTCTGGTGAGCGCCATCAGAAATGGAGCTAGTGATCACGTTGCTACGTAAGTTTCAATAGTATTCTCTTTGCTTAATAATTTCATCTCGATAGAGATTTGCACATTCTAGAGGTCTTCATTGTGTGATTGTACATGATAACCAAGTTATGGGCATAAATATCGGTTTAACTTGACATGCTGAGAGCATGAAACGATATTCACAATAACAATCTTGACAGTCGCGTCTGAACATCTTCTTAACACAACTCTTTTCGTTTGGTTCACTGCAGTTTCATGGTTGGGGCAAGTGGTACCGCTACCAAAGCTTACCACAACTTCGATCGTATCTCTGTCAGATTGCAGCTCGGGAGCTTCAACCGTCCAAACACGACAAATATTAAGGCCCCCAGCAGCAGTATAAATCGAGAGAACCATATTGGTGAGACTTGAGAGTAGTCGTGTGGCAAGATTTGCAGAATGGGAACAAATGGTTTTGCTTCTTCTTGATACCTTGTTGTGACAGTTAAATTAGATCCTTTAGAAAAGTGTTTGGTAAATTAGTTGTTAGTTGATAGCTTACATGTAAAATAACTTTTTCAAAAAAGCTTATCGAAAAAGTTACTTTAAACAGCTTTTTGAATTTTAGCATTTTTGAGCAATAAGTTGTTACAAAAAGCTAATTAATCAAACATTCATATTAATTGTTAAACAGTTAATAGTGATCAAATAAGTCAAAATTAGTTGATAAGCTAACTATGTTACTAAATATGATCTTAATGCTTTATCAAATTTTTTCTTGATAAAAGAAATTTACCGTTGTCGTGCGATGGTGTACGTTAGGTAATACTTTATCAATTTTTTTTTTAAATGATGAAAAATTCATTGTAATAGTGTATACGACAAATTAATAATATTTAATTAATTTAATGTACATAATATGTTAACTGTAACACTATATATACATAAAAGATTAATTGTATGCACATTAATTTAAATGTGTTTTGAATATAATTTACAATGTAAGGTGGATTTTGCTCCATGATATAAGAATTGGGTGGGTACAGCCGTACAGGATATGAGGATAATGGCATAATGCTTTATCAATTTTTTTATTAATTGATGCTTTATCAATTAATTATTAGAAAAGAAGAAAGATGTAGACATTCCCTCATTAAAAGAGAGAAAGAAGGGACCGACCGAGTATGTTCACTGTCATACGGCTACATATTTGTCAAATATAATAATAATATCTCCGATGTGGATCGAAGATATCCGGATTAGATCTTCTTCTTCCTCTCTTCTGCCGAAATGGATATCAATCAGGTGAGTTCTTTCATCGTCTCTTCCACGTTTCCGACAACATATCTGTCTTTATGCTCCACCTGCTTTCTTTAATGTATTCTTGATTGATTGCTAGTACGAACGCCCAAACATGTATTTAGATGAATTAATCGGTTCTGTCGGTATGAATAGACCTTTACCAATTTCAAGTGGGAATGAGTGATGATCCGAGCTTGGGTTTTCGTATACTTTCTGAAAAATTTTGGGATTCCAAGTGAAAATGAAAAGTTCTGTTTGTTCCCCCTTTTGGCTATGGTGGATAGATATATTCTGTGAAACAATCTTTTTCATTGCCCACAAATGTTTTTTATGTTTCTATATATATAGTTGTATGAGGAATTTGTCTATTTAGTCTTGTTCTTTCTAACTCGTAAACTTTGAAGGTTTATATTCTCTGTTTCATGCTTCCAGCTTCGAGTTTGAGGCAGTGGTGCTATGGAAATGTGGTAGATATAACGATGGATTATCGGTTTTGAATAAGTATTTTCTTTGTTGTGTCATAAGATAGCTCCACAGCATAATCATCTCGATTTTGCGATGTCTTCAGTTAAATTACAGTCTAAGCAAAGTTCTGGTAAGGCGTCAAAAGAGCCCGAGTATTTTCTAGGCTGCAAGAAATGTAACCTGCGGTTCCACCGTGAAGGCTCTGTTGATAAACTACTGAATGTGCCCGAGGCAGATTGCGGGGTTTCCTGCCCCGACTGTGTTGATCAAATTGCAAAATTAGTTGGGGAGGGCCGTTTCGTTGAGGAATATTTCACTCAGGCTTATACAGTAACTAACGATTTATTGCATTTAGACGGACATTTGAAGGAGTACGATGCTTGTATGAAAAATGATCATCTGGGAGTGATGCAATCACTTAATAGTCCAGGTGGCAACAACTCGGAGAAAACACCGGTAAGAAAGGAGGTCGAAAGTTTCTGGTGTGCCGATACTCAGCTTATGGAATTGGATTCTTATTACTGCCTCGCCTCTGAGCAAACCACAAAGCTTTTGGATTCTCATTCGATTGGCGTTGAGAAAGCTGCACCGTGGTGGCGTGCAGCCGATAAGGAGATGTCTTCTGTTTATCTCGAGTCATCCAGCTATATGAAAAATCGGGATCTCCAACGATTTCAATCCAAGCAGTTTGGGAGTGAATTAAATACTGGTATTCAGTGTGTTGACGAGGTTCGGATGGAAGAGAGAAGTGTTATGGATGCAAGTAACTATAATTCGGGACATGGTCCTTTAGTAAACAAACTGAAAGCTCAATGCCCATCTAGTGTGGACGGTTTCTCACCTCAAGGTTTAAGCCAACTATTAAGGTATTTCTCCATTACTTGGTGTTCTCTCTTTTAGGCTTTTATGGTCATTTCGGGGGAATAATATACTAGCTTATTGTTAATTTGCAACAAAAGGGCTTGAACATAAGGATTCGTCTATTGTTTGACTTTGCTAGTATCTACTATCTAACCCGACCTCTATAAAAATGACTGTGACCCAGTTTGGATAGAGCTTATGCAGGTTCGAGTCAAGTATAACTCTCATTAGTAGGACTTCTAGCATCCTGTATTCTACACGTGTTACCTTGAACAACCTAATATCATTCAGATTATTTCCCATATAATGTTTCTGTAAAAATTGTAAGTTCATGCTATTGTTTGAGGCCTTCTGTTGAAATTTTATACATAGTTAAATGCCCTCGATATGCGTAAAAAGGATAGAGTAAGATCTTGTGCTGTTATTTCTTGTGAAACATTGAGAACTTAGAGCCTGTTATAAACTAAGATTGAGCTTGATATGCATAAAAAGGACAGAGTAGGATCTTGTGCGGTTATTTCTTGTGAAACTTTGAGAACTTAGAGTTAGGGTCACTCAATTGGGCTATAAATGCACATGGGCCAAACTACACTAAAAGATTGAATCCATGGCCTTATAAACCCATATATTTTCTCTTATTTTATCAATGTGGGACTCTTAACAAAGGCATTCAACAGTGACAGTGGTGCAGATACGGAAAAACTGCAATCAACAGAAAGCGAAGGAGAAGGATTGGGTGAACTGAGCAGAAGCGAGTTGTTAGAAGCGCTCTGCCATTCTCAAACCCGGGCAAGGGAGGCAGAGAAACTGGCGCAGCAAGCTTGCGACGAGAAGGAGCACGTCATCAACTTATTTTTCAAACAGGCTTCCTACCTCTTCGCCTACCGGCAGTGGCTCCAAATCCTTCAGCTCGAGGCTCTGTGCCTCCAGTTTAGGAATAAAGACCAATGTAAGTCTTCTTCTCACCTTCAAGGTCCTTCGCCATTCAAGAATGGCAAACGACTCAGAAAGGGTCAAGGTCATCATCGTAGGCCTCCTCCTACGAGGAGGAAACAGGGTATCCCGAGAATCAAACTGAACAGCTGCAGTCTTGCTTTTGCTGTCGGCTTTAGCCTGGCAGGCGCTGGGCTGCTAATAGGCTGGACGTTGGGTTGGCTGTTCCCCGCTTTTTAATCCGCCTATGGAAGTTGTGGTCGTGCCATTTGTGACATAGACTTTGTATCCTCAGTTGGGTATTCTTTGGTGTTGAGGATGTAGTTTGTCTTTCTTCAAATTTCTTGCCAGCAGTGGATTGTATCCTAGTGGGTTCTCTGCTGATGCTGTAAAATCTCCCCCATTCTGATGTAAATACATTGCAAATTATCTGGGTGTGTACTTGTGATTGTGTAAAATATGCTCTTTTTTTTTTTTTTTTTTTTTTTTTTTTTTTTTTTTTTTTTTTTTTTTAATGAGTAATGGTTAGTCCATTATATTGGGAATCTCATTGGTAATGTTTTCTGTTTTTTTTTTTAAAAAAAAAAAATTTATTTTTCATTCTGTACAACGAGTATCTTGTTGGAATTTTTTGCTTTTTTTGGTACTTTAGAGATGGAGAAAAAGAAAACTTTGAGAGGAGAGCAAAACCACCTAGAATCTGATCCTCCAAATTTGGTTGTCCAAGTCACCCAGAGGCGTTTAAGCACAAAGTTTGCCATACACTCCGACCCAACAGTTTGTGAAATGGGTAAATCATTTTGCTCACTGCACTTCCACACTGTCGTTTGTGATACTCGATCATTGGTCTCTTATAACAAATTTTACTTCAACTAATTGAGCTGTCTATGAGAACCTGTTGAGATCTTTCTTGTTATTATGGTATTCATGGGGCCATTTGAAAATAGAATACGGGAAGTGTACGTGTGCGTGTTCAAAATGGACTTCAAGAAATTAGAATGGACAAGAGTAAAAAGCTTGCGTGTTCAAAATGGACTTCAAGAAATTAGAATGGACAAGAGTAAAAAGCTTAGGTGATCACCGAGTAATTTTATTTTTATTTTTTTATCAACACAAATTTTATGTCATGCTTAATCAGTGGATTGTCAGACTGCAATTAAGGAGATTCAATTTATTTCAATCTGATCTCTCAAAATAGGTGTGAATTGCCAGCCCAGGAGAGAAGTGAGAATCATTTAGCGTCGTTCACGTATCCAGATCTAAGGGATGAGGAATACTGATTTTAAAAAAAAAATGTGGTGACATTTTCGTAAATAATTGAACATCGACGTGCAAGTAAAATGTATTACAAGTGCAAGTAGCAGTTTCATATAATGCACCTCAGTGCATGTAAAATGTATTACAAATGCAGGTAAAATTTATTACAGGTGCAAGTAAAATTTACACTGAGTATCAAAACTAAATGCATCTAACGTTATAACAAGGTGCACCTATAGTTATAAGTAGTTGCACCTAGGTGCATGAATATTAACAAGGTAAAATTACATGCACTTGTAAGTGAAAATAGGTGCAGTTCTAAGAGATTTTACCTACACATTTTACTTGCAAATATGCACCAACTATTTACATTTATAACACATTTACATGCACCAAAATTCGAGTTATTTACGAAAATATCACTGCGTCATTTTTTTTTTAAAATTACATTTGATTCATTTATGTGGACACGTGGATGACGCTTAATGATTCTCATTCTTCCCTGAGCATACATTCACATGAGAGCATGCTATATATATATATATATATATATATATATATATATATATATATATAAAAGAGGAAAATGGACATTTTCTGTGTGACCAGCTCCACAGATAAATTAAATTTTGCAACTTTATATAAAGTAAATGGGGTCATATCGAACGTCGGGAGTCCACGTCGGAGACGTCGCGGCACGGGAATCTCCTCCCGTCCACAAAACATTTATTTACTCTTTTTTTTTTTGAAAGAATCCAAAAAACATTTATAATAATCCTTTCGGCTAACAAAATAAAAATAAAAAATCTTATTTTTCCCAACGTTTTCCATGCCATATGTGGCACAAACTTACAACATTATCCTTACACACCATCATCCCATTTGGTTTCGAGCAATTTTAGAAATAAAATAAAAATTTTAAAAAAATATTAATAATATATAAAATAATATTATTTAAATTTTTTGAGGAAAATTGTAAAGTTTAGGATAGAAAAAAATTGACAAAGTATGTTATGAAGAAAATATAGGATATTAAAGAAAAATGATTTATTGAAAATGGGGACACCCGCATATATATACACAACATTCGCCTATATTGAGGCTCGAACATTAAATCTTCCACAAAAGAAGTCAAATCAAATACCAATAAATCATAAGTCAATTTAATGGTTAAATTTTGACTATTTATATTTGTATTTGAAAAAAAAAAAATTACAAAAATATACAAAAATTCATGACATTTTAAATGACAGAGTATGTTATGAAGAAAATATAGGATATTAAAGAAATATAATTTATTGAATTTAGGTATAAGGTTTATAAAGTTTAAATGTGAAGGAGAAAAACAGAGTTTAAATAGAGAGAAAAACTTTGAAAGGGGGACACCCACATATATATACACAACATTCGCCTATACTGAGGCTCAAACACTAAACCTTCCACAAAAATCAAATATCAATGGACCACAAGCCACTTTAATGGTTAAATTTTGACTATTTATATTTGTATTTGAAAAAAAAAAAGCTTTACAAAAATATACAAAAATTCATGACATTTTAAATACTTTATGACTTCTAAAGACTCTTTAAAAATCTTAATCAAATACCACATTACTTTTAAAGAATCTTTAAAAATTTTGATTGAATATCTCATGACTTTTAAAAATTCAAATTAAATATTTCTAAACTTTTTAAAATTTATAAAAGTCTTTAAATATTTATGAAAATCAAGATCGAATATACACTCAAATTTGTACCTTTGAGGCTTAAACCAATGACTTGTGGTTAGTGACACTAAATTATTATCTCATTTTCGAGATTGTGAGTTAGCTTCCGTAGGAATAGTACTCAAAAAAATAAATAAAAAAAAAATAAAATTGTACCTTTGACTTTTGAAGCTACCCAAAGCCGACCGTCTTCCACCTCCCCAGAACTTAAACCAACGCGTATAATTATTAAAATAACTAAATAATAATAAAAAACCAAAAAAGTTAGAACCTTTACGACTTGTATATATACTCCGTATTTGCTTCCATTCCCGTTCTCTTTCTTCTACCTTTCAGGATTTTGTTCCTTTTACCCTTTTTTACAGAATTAATCCAACGTGTATCTGCTTTGCCCTCTGGTCTTCTCCGAGTTTTTTATTCGCCGGAGAAGAATAAGGCTGTTATCATTGTTGTTTTGTATATTTTATAGTTGCGGTAAATTTTATTTTTGGAGAAGGTGAAGATGCCAATCTGTGAGGTGGCAAGGTATCAAGACGACGAGGATGCTGCTAAGAACAATGGGATCGAGATTTTCTACAGAACTTATGGTCACGGACCAGTTAAGGTTCTCATGATCATCGGTATAGTATTATTCGTTGTTTTTAAGGAGAACAATTTTATAATGATTTTATTTATTTTTCCGAGAAAAGCTGGATTTTTTTAATGGTTTAAGCTGGTCTGGGTGATGATTAGGATTGGCTGGGACTCACAATTCGTGGAATCCGCAAATCGAGGAGCTCGCCGGAACGGTGACTCCGAACGACGATGAACCGGCGGCGGGTGATGGGAGCTCCGGCGAGGTCGCCGGAAACGGAAAGATTGAAGTTTGTGCTTTCGATAACCGAGGAGTGGGGTTGAGCTCCGTGCCCAAGAAAAAATCTGAATATACGTGAGTTTTCCGTTTCAAAGATTTGATTTTTATGTGTTAATTGTGATTAATGCTAAGAAAGTGATTTTGGGTATGCCTGGATTTTGATTTTGATGTCTGGGCTGATAATCTTTAGCATCAATTCAATGCTAATAAAGTGATTTCGAATTTGATGTTCTTAATTTTGGTAGATATTTTCAGAACTTTGGCTTTTGCTGGCTGCAAATATGTGGGCAGAAAGCCTTGAAAACAGAGAGGCAATTTTCCAAAGTAAATAGAGGCAAATGAGAGAAACTTGAATTGGGCATTTTCTTTTTTGATGATTTTGTAGACTAGAATTAATGAGTCTCGAGTAGTGACTACGAGTTTCCTTGCCACTCAGAATTAATGAGTTTAAGTGTTGGGTATAGTGTGGTCAGCAGTCGAGAAGGCGAATTTAATGTTTCATCGTTTGCTGTTGCAGAACGAGAATTATGGCAAAAGATGCAATAGCTCTGATGGATCATTTAGGTTGGGAAAAAGCACATGTATTTGGGCATTCAATGGGTGAGTGTTCACAATGCCAAGATTTAGCTGCAAATTTTGACCATTTCATGTATAATCAAGTCGTTTTCTACTGTCTGGCTTGCAATTTTAATTAATAATATAATTCATATATGCATTACAGTCGTATTAAAAATGGCAGGTCCCAATTACTGGAAATCTTTGGTTCATGCCCGTTGACTTTAAATATTTACTCCATAATTCAGATACACCTAATGAAGCCTTTTCAACTTTCAGATAGTTACCTTTCTTTATTAGAATTTATAATTTGAATTAGATGTTGACAATTTCTCTAAGTGTAATATTTGTATTTACACTGTATCACATTTTTCTTATGGTTGATCTAGATTTCTGTGAAACAGCGAGAAGAAAGAGTTAAAAGTCATTGCATTTCTAGGAAGGTTCGTGGTATCTCGTATGGGTATTAATCTTGACGTTTTTGTGCATATTATTTCAATCATGCAGGAGCTATGATTGCTTGCAAGCTGGCTGCAATGGTGCCCAACCGAGTTTTGTCTTTGGCGTTACTAAACGTAACGGGTGGAGGTTTTCAGTGCATGCCAAAGGTAGTGCTTTTTTTTTTTTTTTTTTTTTTGTAACATTCATGAACTTGTTGTGGAAGTTACGTAATTAGATCTCAAATATCGAAGAAATTGGAGAAAATAAATGTATTCGATGTTTTTGACATCGTAATCATGGTAACATGTAGTTTTCTCCTTCTACAGCTTGATCGTCGAACTTTGTCAATTGCTGTCCGTTTTCTGAAGGCCAAGACTCCCGAGCAAAGGGCAGCTGTTGATCTAGATACCCATTATTCAGAGGTTAATACGAGTTTCCTTTTTCACGTTTCTCCCTTTTGGGCATTGCTGTATCGATTTTGCCAGTGGAGGGTTATATAATTTCTAATAACATGCAGGAATTTCTCGAGGAATGTGTGGGAACGAGTACACGTAGAGCAATATTGTATCAAGTAAGTAATTATAGATACGACTATTTTCATGTGTTCTTTTCATCCAAATTCAGACAGCTAAACTTTTTTTATTATCGATTCTAAGTGATCACAATAAGACATTTAGAAATCAAAAGCTTTTGCAACCGTTGATAGTTTGATACCCTTTGTAGGAATATGTGAAAGCTATATCAGCGACGGGAATGCAGTCTAATCATGGATTGGACGGTCAGATCAACGCTTGCTGGACGCATAAAGTGACTCGGAAGGAGTTGGAATCCATTTGCTCTGCTGAATTTCCCATATCCGTAATTCATGGAAGGTATATGCTTCATAGTACAACGTAATTTTTTTGTAAGGGGTGATTTCGAATATATCAGATAAACCTGAGACGAGTTTTCCGGTGTAGGGATGATGTTATTGCCCAATTATGCCACGCACGAGCGCTTGCAAAAAAATTATACCCTTTTGCTAGAATGGTAGAACTTCATGGAGGACATCTCGTGAGCCATGAAAGGACCGAAGAGGTAAACTTCTTCTAAGTGTACGTTAGCACTCGTAGCAACTATTATGCCGTCCAGGTAGTCAAAAATGTGATATAACACTATAAATGCGCTGATTTAAAGTGACTTATCGGAAGACTAGAGTTTATTAGTTTAACACAAGCTTTCATGAAATCTAAGTATTATTACGGATAGTCTTATTATTGGATGGTTGACATCATTAATGATGCTAAAAAGGCCACCTACAGGGGGCAATTCCAACCAATTTGGTCAGGCTGTTGACTTGGTAACCACAAAGTTACAAATTAGACTAGCGGGAGCGGCCTACAGTTTCCTCTGGTCCTTTGCTGGCTAGAGTCACAAGGCGGGGTTTACCCAGTCCACACCCTCGGGTAGTGGTTGCGGGTTTCCTCATCACCCAACCCGCCTTTCCTCCTACACCCAGAGGAAGGGTGGGAAAAACCATCATTAAAGTCTGTGCTTGAGTGTTCTCTAGCAATGAGAATAGTTCCTGGATATTCTATGTCTGTTGCTCGACTATTTTACCATATGCAAGTATGCAACTATTGAGATTTGAGGATGCCTAAATGAAGTTACGTTGGAAAATTCAGGTGAACGAAGCACTTCTTGAGCTGATCAAGGCTTCGGAAAGCAATATTAATGCATTAGACTGGACAAATTTGTCCGTGGAACCTACTGGTAATAGCATCTGTTCTAATCTTCTAAATGCTCGCCTTATGTTTTTTTTTGTTTTCTTTGAGACAATGTTGCTTCTGAATCTTGTACACAGTAATAATACCTTTGGTCATATTTTTCTTTTAACGTTAAATTGTCAGGATGGAAGATTACTCGGTTGTCAATTACTAGACCAAGCGGTTTACCTTTCATGTTTTATGTAATAGACAGGCTCCAAGTGTTCCTCCTGTTCCTTTTTGGCCTATTTCTACTAGCATTTGAGCACACAAAAAGAGCATTAAAGAGATTAAAACCAGCAAAAACAGTGAGAATCGGAGCTACCCTCACATGAAAGCTTACGAGGCACTGGTAAGTAATTCATTCTTTAGAAGCTTTCAAAGTCACCACCCAACCCAGTATCAGTTCTAGAACTGAATTTTGATCGTTCGGGCCTTCCTTTTGCAGGGCATTTTCTCTATTTATCGCCTCTCAGTAACACGGCTAGTCTTAATTCAAGAATCTCCTTTTTTGCCTTCTTTTTTCCCCCCAGATCTACCCAGATTGATCCCTACCGACATAATTGTATAACACGACACAAGAGGCCAGAATGGTAGTAGCAACTAATGAAAGTACGACTCTCATGTGAAGGGGCGATTCGAAGAGAAACAAACAAAGGAGATGGATATGAAGCCCAGCACAAAATGGGATGTCTTCTGTGTGTTGTTTGATGATACTTGTCACTATTCTTTGAAGAAAATCTGTATTATAATAATTTTCAGTGTCCGAGAAACCTTAATTTGAAACATTTTGGCTGTCTAGAACTCCTAGTTAATGTTCAGAATGTTGTATAATTGGCTGCCTTTCATTTTAATGGGAGCCAACATTAGTATTAGTATTCATGTTTAAATTAAACAAGTTTGTTATGTTAAAAGTCCCACATTGAAAAAAATAAGAGAGAATATACGGGTTTATAAGGCCATGGGTTAAATTAGCTAATTGGTTGGATTCAATCTTTTAGTGTGGTTTGGTCAATCTTAGTTTATAAGATGGTATTGGTTGAGATTGACCAAGAACAGGTTGAATTAGTCTTATCCAGTGAGACGTGCTTAAGTAAAGTTCTTTTGCAGACAGTTTGATACATGTATAACTCCAAACAAATCTAAGCAGAAACATGAACCAGAAAGCAATCTGAAACCTTGGCTGAAAGTTTTAGACAACAAATCTAAGATCTTTTATCTGTGTCTAACAAAAATGTCACTCTTGCAGAACAAAACTAACAGATCATCAGAACAACATGCATGAAAACAAAGATCATAGATTAACCTTTCAAAAAAAAAGATCATAGATTAAAAAACAGCAAAAATGGATAAAGAATTCAACTCACCAGTTCTGTTAGCAGGATCTGACCTTAAACTATGTCATTTTCAACCCAATAGCTTGGAACAGACGATAAATGAGCTGCTAATCTGTTGCAAAATCGAAGGTTATGTGTCATGTTAAAGAGAACTCACATTTGTTGCAAAAGCGAAGGTTATGTGTCACGTTAAAGAGAGCTCTGCAAACACATCTGTTGCAAAATCGAAGATTATGTGTCATGTTAAAGAGAGCTCTGCAAACACATCTATTGCAAAATCGAAGGTTATGTGTCATGTTAAAGAGAACTCTGCAAAACACGACTTGAGTCGAAGCTGGATTAGAGAGTTGAGAGCAGCCATGACAGATAGGAAAGCTTTCAAGTTTTAAAGAAAGGGAAGGAAAGATTGTTGGGTGAACACTGAGCAAAGGTAGAGAATTATGGCCATTGTTTCCTGGCAAGCAATCAATAATATAGCAATGCTGCTGGGCCAAGATGGGTAATATACTAATATGCCACAGGAATATTCTGATTGGCTTAAACTCTTCGCACAGAAATTGAAGCAAACACGACAACATAAAAGAGTCAAGGGATGATCATCCCCTAAAATAAGAAAAACCAATTGTTGCACTCTTATTAGTAAACAAATATTGAGCAACTCAGCCAAGTTGGTTAACCTAGTAACCACAAAATTACATGTTCGATTACTAAGCCGGTCATGGTAACCTAGGTTGGTTTACCTCTTTGTAGTTTTTTATCGGTTAGAGTTACAAAGTGAGGTTAAGTAGTGATTACAGGTTTCTCTCGTCACACAAAAAAATATTACTTTCATGGTTAAAATATGAATTAAATACAATAAAACTCTTCTTAAATTTTTCTTTTTAAAAAAAACAGCCAAAACTGATTGTGAAGATTGAAGAACAGTTATTTCTTAATTTACATGTTTCAGAATTTTTTTTAAAATATAAAAATAAAAAACAGAACTGGTAGGTTGGGAAGGTAGTTATGAACATATACTACATTGTAACAGAGTCAGTAGTATTAAAAAAAAAATCAGAACCAGTAAAAAAACAGTGGACCCGGTTTAATGCGCAGTAGGGTTTTTTTAAAGCCAAAAAGGCAAAAACCCTATTCTTGCCTCTCCCAAAGTCGTTGTTGCTTGTTTCAGAGTTCAGATATGGCAGCGACAACAGATGCCCAGTCGAAATGGGAATTCAGCTGGTAAACTCTCTCTCTCTCTCTCTCTCACACTCACTTTGTGCTATTTATATATGCTAGCGTAATCAAGAATGTGTTGCAAAAATCTGATTTTTCTGTGTTCTTTGTTTGAATGTATGGAAAAGTTCCTATCTTTTTGTTTTTTGTTTGCAGTTTTGCGATATTCTTGCCTTTCCCAGAGCTCAAATGGAATATAAAAGTTCATGTCTTTCGTCTTTTTTGAGATTTTCATGATTGTCCCAAAATGTTGTTTTAAGGATTGGCTGTAACTTACTATTGCAATAGTGATATTCTTATCTGTTAACACTATGAGTTTATGAGTTGCTGTGTGGTGTGCAGTGAGTTGGAAGTAAATCTTGGATCTCAAGAACATGCTCAAATTATCTATACAGCTTTGTCTGTTGATAAGGAGGTAGGATTTCACTATCATCATAACTCTATTTTGCTTCATAATATAAAGCTTTGCTTGTATTATGACTGAAAACTTGATTTTCGTTGCGATTTTTATTTCAATTGCAGTTGCAGCCTGATAAGGTGAAAAGGGTAATGTCGGCTTCAGATGGGAAGCTTTTAGTGTGAGTACTCGCTCTTACTCCTCTGCATTGAATCTCTACATATCGAACATGTAACTTGTTAATCTGTTATATTATCATACCAGCATATCTACTTACACATTCTAAACTCCAGAAAGTGATTGGGACATAAATGTTAAGCTATGAGACCGCATCTTATGTTTACTGAAAGTATGACCATAATTTGGTTTGGTTTATGCTTGTGAATATTCTATGCCATTAGTGTGTAAATTTTCGTATTCCAACTCTTCCCCGTTCTGTTGGCAGGCATTTTGAGGCCACGGAAGCTAGGTTTCTTCGTGCATCATTTAGTGCTTTTGTAGATGTTCTTACACTTGCCACTAAAACCATTGAAGAATTTGGTCCAGTTATAGAAGTATGATAGATACACTCGACATTGTTGGACACGAGTTGGCTACTTTATGGTTTTTTATTGTCGATGGCTTCTTGTATTGTACTATTGTTTAATGAAACCCCGTAGTTTAGTGTTTGGTGGATTTACATGGCTCCAAGGAAATCTCGCATTCTTGTGGGGTTTTTCTTGTATGAAAGGTTTGATTTAGTTTTCTTGTAGATGGAGAGAACTGAAATCTTTAAAGCAGATATTGAACTGTTATTCTACATGTCTAGCGATTACTGAATATAAAAGGAGTATTATTTACATGTCTAGCAATTTCAAGGGGGGAGTTTACCCCTGTCGAGTAGTGGTTGTGGATTTCTCTCGTCAGCCAAAAAATAAATGAGTATTATTTACAACTGTGTTGAACATTTGCTTTGACAACAATGAAAAGTTCTGCAATTGTTTGAGGAAACTGTTTATACATATCTTCTTCACAATCAAGATTACACCTTATAACTCTACTAGTAAACAGATTTTCAAGGATACATTGTAATGGACTTTGAAATGTAATATACTCTGTAACACTGCAAAATCATGATAAATTTGAGTGAAGGGAGCATGCCCGAGTTTCTTCTTTGCTTAAAGGGATTGTATTGATTGATCGTGTATCGTCAGTATTCATCGAGGTATGTATATAGCACTTCATCTTTCTTTGATTTGCGTCGGCTAAGCAAAGATTTAAGAAGGCGTTTACTTTTGCTGGGGTACTCATCGGAATCTCTTGGTATATCTTTTTCAGCATGGAGCCGCATTGAGGCTGATTTGCGAGGTTCTGCAGGATACTGGTCCACCACCAAAAAGTATCCAAGAATCGTAAATTCCAAATATTGAGCTCCAAGTAAACAGGTATTGGTAGATTTAATGTAGGAATGAAGAAAAGGTCCGAAGAATTTTACCAGGCGTCTGGGGTTTGGAGTGGTTGGTCGACTTGAATTTGGGGTGGTTGACCGGGAGCCTTTTGGGGTGGTTGGGCGAGATGTTTTAGGCGTAGTGGACCTGCTGGCGAAAGATGCTGTTCGTAGAAGAGGAAAACGGTGTGGTGACACTGTCCGCTTCTCTGTTCCATCAAAAGAGAACACAACAAAGAACAACAAATATATAACCAACACCATTTGGTCTAAAGGAGAATGACAATGCAAGAAGAAGCGGGGAACAAACCTAGTTCTCTTCTTGGCATGGTCTTCGAGAACGAGAAATCACGAGGTTGTTGGTGAGAAAGTCGTGGAGAAGGTGATGGAGAGCGCCCTTTTCTGCACCTTTCAACACGTTAGTTATTGATGACTCGAGTTACCAGTTTTATAAACTACACATACTCTCTCACTACTTACACAACTGCAGATGATGGAGCTTCTGTAATCGTTGCACGAACAGCTGCAAGGAAATATCAAATCATAATCACATTGATGTTATCAGCTAGACGGGAGAAAAAACAGAAGAAGAAACTAAAGCATCCAGCATTCTACCATTTCGAAACTGATTCCAGTCATCTTCTGCATCAAGACCACGCAACGCTTCACCAACTAAGAAAGGAAATCGAGATCATTAGGGCCCGTTTACTAACAGAAACTGTTCTCTGTTTTTTTGTTTTCTCTTCTCAAATAAATGTAAGAGAGTAAAATAACAAATACCTGGCAAGATGTATCGTTTATGGTACTTAGGAGTATTTATAACTAACGATTGCTGTGAAAGACCCTCGCGATCAATATATCCCTGGCATGACCTTAGTCTCTAAACAACGATGAAAGAAACCATGTTAAAGAAATTAAAAATCTCAGCATTTTAAGCACATATTGACACTAAAAAGGCACTAGCAAGACAGTTACTACTTCCACAGAACATATACATGTGGTTCTCAGAAAGCAAAAAGAACGAACAAAGAAATCGCTATCACCTGCTCAATGGAAGATACCCGAAGTTCAGTTCCAGAAACTTCATCTACTTTTTCGTCTAATAGATCATTGACCTTATAAGTCACGGAGCCCAAATGATCAACGGTGTTCACAAGAGCTTTAATGGCATAATCTTTCAATGTATTTACCACTCTGTATGTAAAGAAAACTTCAGAACCAAAACAAGTACTAGAGGTCAAGCAGGAAGGAGGAAAATGGGACCTTCCGCAAAGTTAAACAGTTGACTCACACATGTTTTTGGTCATCGTTGGAGTACGATAACTCAAAATATTCAGCTGCAGAGTAGAGTTGTTTCCTGAGATTCTTCAAGTCCTGAAAAGTACAAATTGCAAGGATGAATAATTCTTACAATAACGATATTAGCTACAATAATACTAAAGGATTTGAATAATTCCTTTGCTAAGTAAGCCTGTAGTTTGGAAGTCCGACTTTTGAAAAGTATATGAAAGTAAACATCCTCCATTTTTATCATTTCTTTGATATCTAGATTCATACTAAGAGTGAAAATGATCAACAACACAGATTGAATGCTATTAAAACATGCCACTAAAAACTCTTTTGCAAGAGTCATGATGCAACATTAACGATGATCTATTCACCATTTACGACCCAAATTAGTACCTCCTAACTTCACCGAAAGAAGAAAACCAAGCACCGAGAAGGCGAGAACCACAAGAAAGTGAAACATAAACCGAGCAGCGTATAAAAGTACCTTAAGACTGTCGGAGAACAGCACGCTTTGCTGCATTGATACCTCGTCATAATTTGCTGGCTCTCGAGGGAAGGGCATTGCAGTGGTAGTTAAGGTCTCCATTTAGTAGCAATTGGTACAATGTCCTTATCCTGCAACTACCATCACAAATTACCCTCCAATATTTAACACTCAAGTAATAAATAAATGACAGTTTAGGGCAATCCCAGTTCTTAAAACTGCATTCTTTTGATGTACCCAACCAGAAAAAAGAGAAAGAAATGGTCTTCTCAACTAAAACCAGCACTTAGTAACTAATCTGATTTACAAACAATAATAATTCCTTGTTTTTTTCTCTGCCAACAACATAATTAACTTATAATATAATTCTAGTTCAAACCTTAAAAAAAAATTAAGGTAATAAAGAACAAGCCAACAAAAACAGTTTAAACCAGACAGGGACAACAAGAAATTCAGAAAATATGAAGTCAAGAATCAAGATAATGTCTTTTCATTATCACTGAGAATATTCCCAGATTAAAAAAATTACTAAACTTCAGAACTGTCATTTTTTGAAAATGCCAATACCTTCACCAACAAGTTCTCATTCTCCTAGGAAAACAAATCACTACAGTATATACCTCCACAAAACCCATAAAAAAGCTGCAATCTTTCATTTAAAAAGAAGAGAGAACTTTAAAGCAAAATTGGCAACCATATAGGTTATAGATGAAGACAAGAGCTCACCTGTGGCAAATTTCAGATTTTCTTTGGCTTTCTTGAGCAGCCAAGACAGTGGGATTTGAAGCACTGTGGAACAAATAAAAAGAAACCAATTTGAAATTCTTTATAATGGCTAGAGAACAAGTAAACAGGAACCCACTTCAGTGGGATTCAAAAAGCATGAGTAAGTGGAGACCAAAAATGGGGGGGATTGATAATGAAAACCAAATAGACATGACAATATGAGCAGCTTGGTTTCAAGAATTTTGACTAAATCAAAAGGAAAACGACAAGCATAAGGGCTTTTTTTTCTTTTCTGATTTTTTGAGGACTAGGAAATAGGAATGCAAAGACAAAGATGAGTGGAGAGAGGTTGTCTGAAAACAAAAGGGGGCAAAAGAGAAGGAGAAAATGGGGACAGCCGTGCATCAAGGCTAGCACGTCTGCTGCTCAAAAAAGCAAACAAATCGAGAGCAATTCTTACTAAATTGGTCAAATTATTAACTTAATAATCATAAAATTACAAAATTTGACTCTTAATAGAAATGATTTATTAACCTTTTTAGTTTAAGCCAATTAGCTATAAGTAATTTAAGCTTATTTATTGATTAAAATTACAAAACAAAATTTATATAATCCACATCTAAACTTGTTTACTAATTAAAATCACAAAACGATATTTATCTAGTACACCTTGAGATAATAAGGGAGAAAAGAAAGCATACTACCAGTGGAGCTCTGTGGTCTCATTCTCATTCCCTTGGTTGCAATCACCCACCCAAAATCTCTTTTCCCGTTTCTAATCATTGCCTGTTTCTGTGGGGCCCTCCCCATTTTCCTGCATCTTCATTTCACAATATTTAAATACTGTGGAATACTGGAATTCAATGACCCCCTCTGCCAATGTCTAGGCAGCTACCAATTCTTTATTACACACGCAGATGAGGTTAAATAACAACATTTAATTTTGTAGAGAGAAACTCTGTTTTTTTCTTTATTTTTTCTATTTAATTTGTCAAGGACAAAGCTTTTAATATTGAGTGTGAAGATGGCAGAACAATGAAGAGACTGGAAACTAGAGACACCAATTGAGGGCTAATGGGAGTTGTCCTATATGAGTGATTTAATGCATGGAAGAAATTTCTTCAATTCATATTTGATATTTCGGAATCGCAGAATAATAAAATTAATTTAACTGATACAATTCGCTGATTAAACCGCTAACACAATTTCCTATCCACTAACTGCTGATTGTTAAACAAAACCTAGCCTTTTGCACTCGCAATAATGGTAGACAAAAAGATCATTCAAACAAGGCGCGATTACATTCTAAGTTTCTAACAACAATGTCATGTCACAAGTAACAATCTAATAGAACATTGGATTCAATTTGAGATGTTGAAAATAATATGAAAGAAATGTTTTTTCCTCACCTGCTTTACCAACCGCAAGGCCGCAATCGAATAGGTTTCAGTTCCGGGTCGCAAAGGATAGGCGTCGACATCATTTCACCTCAAAACCCTCCTAAGTCCTATCTCCGACCCACACGCCAATCATGTAATATAATGCTCGCCGATCACACTTCCACGTTTGACCAAACATCATCAATCTCCCTTTTGTTAATCTGTATATATTCACGGTTGAAATCTATATGTATATTGTAATGTTATTAAAATTACTTTCAAATAAGACTCGAGTTTTGACTTTCATGATGTCCTATCATCTTAATCAATCGACTAACACACTTTGTAAGATTTAGGCTAGTGCACAATAGTCAATCAGTTTTCCCTTTTTTTTTTTTTTTTGAGAAATATAGAATTATATTATTTAGATATGACATCATTATAAATGAGGGTGAAAAAATCACTCCATGCCAATCAGACATAGAGATAGAATTATAGACTAACAGATGAATAATTTTGTCCACTAATCGGAGTAATCGCTTTAGCTGAGTTCGAATTTCTCTCGGGTTTAACAAAAGACATTAAACAAGATTAAAAGAAGAAGATTTTCATATTCGTCCAACAACTTCGATTTTACTTACCAAAAATGATCACTTCAACAAATCAATTTAAAGTTTAAGAATAGTTACAGTTATGTCTGTAATTATTAGAACTCTATTTTTTTTAGTACTATTGACCCTATTAGTTCAAAGAGCCAATATCTCACCACCGCAAAAAGAGTCACAGAGATGATATTTTAACACAAGGTGTATGTTTGGCTATTACAATTCTATTGAGTATATAATATATAAATAATAAATATTAAGTTCAACTATTAATTTCAACTTAAACAAAACTTATTATAGAGTACATTTTAATTATTGTTGAAAAAGCTATCACTTCACTTTTACTCCTACCTAATTGATAATTTAAGGGATAGACTGACTCAATGGCTTTAATTATTATTATCCTAAACCAAAACTGTAGTTAATTTCCATAGTATAGTGATTAGAGTATGAAAATGGGCCACCACTAACCCTCCATCAATCAAGCTTTTTCTTCATTTCGTTTTGCCCTTTGTCTCTTTCCAATACTTATAATAATTTACTTTACGCCGTGAATGACGGACTGTCAACCCCACCCCATGAGAATCATTTCCTGTCCTTCTCTCATGTCACAAATATTAACTAGTAAACTTTTTTTTTTTTTTTTTTGACATAAGTGTCAAATAGGTCCATTTACAACTGCGAAGTGCTTAATTTTTATCATGAACTAAATTAAGTGTCAAATAAATTAATCTACGAGTTAAATTTGTTCAATTAACTTTCTTTACAGATTAATAACATGTTACCTATTTAATTATTAAAATAAATAAATAAAATAAAATTAAAAAAAAAAAAAGAATACAGCCACTGGCCGCCGTTCCTGTTCCAGGCCGTGCTGGGAATCGAACCTGAATTTTTTTTAAGGGGAGACGCGCGTTTTTTAATAAAACGACGTCGTTTTGGCATCCGTATGCACCATGCATAGTGCATACGGATGCACAGCATAACGATTGGTGCAACCGTGCCAACCTTGTAAGGTGGGCAACGTTCCAGATTCTTAATTTTTAAATTGTAGATTCATAATTTCTATACCGTAAATTCATAATTTAAATACAGTAAATTTATAATTTCTATATTGCAAATTTATAATATCTGTACTGTAGATTCATAATTTATAAACTGTATAATTATCAAATTATGAACATATAGTTATGTGATTTGTGAATATAGAGTTTAATAATTGGGAATATCGAAAATTATAGCTCTATAATTATGAACATATATTTATAAAATTTATAAAATTATAAACATATAGCTGAGTTAATTCCAGCAATAGTCCTCCAACTATTGTGATTTTCCAGAATTGGTCCCCGTCTTTTAATTTGGACGAAAAAGACACTTGACTTTCAAATTTGTTCCACCATTAGTCCTTCCGTTAACTTTCACTTTGTTAGGTGTTAATGCAGGGGTTAAAATGGTCATTTCATCAGATTCAGCTTCTTTCTCTAATTTCAACCTTTCTTCATCACAGCAGATCGATGACATCCTCCCGTGAAGACATGACAGATGCTTCAATCTCACGACTGAGGTAGTAAATATACATATGCTCTGGTATGTGAAGTTTCCGACATCCTATGGCAGCAAGAAGAGTGGATTTATCACAGCCATTCAGCCCAAGCAAACCATGGCAGCAAGAAGAGTGGGTTCTGTTGGACACGAGTATCATTGGTTCAAGCTTCTCTAGTTTTAAATATAAAATACTATAAATCAACAACATTTTATTCATTATTACATCTTATGTGCATAATTGGCTAATTGTTACTCAAAATATGGTGCATATTAATCAACAGCATTGTTCTTTAACACCATTTTCAAACCAAAACTAGTAAGCCCCATTGCTTCGGCAAGTAAAACCAATATTATCCAGCAAATGTTCTCGTCAGTAATAAGCTAATCCTTTTGAATTATACACACTATTTGGTAACGTACAATCAATGACATGCAAAACTGAAACAAAATCAAGGCAAATGCTCCTGACAACAGAGAATTCGATAACGTGAGATCCGAAAAGTAGATCAGAAACCTCATCCGAATATCTCTAGACCGAGGATGCGAACACGGAATGCCGTACACGTCCGATCGGATATCTGGAGCTCCCCAACTCCGTTGGCCAAATTGTCGACGCTCGCACTGCCGTTCTCCGCTGCAGTCACCGCCGCTACGGCCTTGGACGAGGCCACAGCAGCTTTACCGCCTCTTTTGGCAGCAGCCGCCGGCAAATAGATGAGAAACAATGGAGTTTTTCATTTTGCTCATCTATTTTTAATACATTCGTATACTCACGAACATGAGGAAGGAGTCAAGCTAATGAAATGACCATTTTAGCCCCTACACTAACCCCCAACTAACTGAAAGTTAACGAAAGACCAATGCTGGAACAAATCTGAAAGTCAAGTGTCTTTTTTGTCCAAATTAAAAGACAATGACTAATTTTGAAAAATCACAATAGTCGGAGGACTATTACTGGAATTAACTCCATATAGCTCTATCACATGTTCACAAACCTAATGCTGTAAATTCATAATTTATATACTGTAGATTCATAATTTATATAATATAGATTCATAATTTCTACACTGTAGATTTATACTAAAGACGAAACAATGCGATTGCGAAAGGAAAAACGTCGTTAACGATATGTGAAAAATAATTTTTTTTTAATTAGAAATATTATGAATCTACAGTATATAGAAATTTGCCAACTCATTTACTCCCACCCATGTACCGTTATGTGAGTCAAGTTTAGAGAAACCTAACGAGTTTTCAAACAAGCAACTCTCAAACTAGTTCACCATGGGGCAAGTTGACTCATCTTCACACCTAGGGGTGACCACAGGTCCGGTTCCGATTCCGTGGATGGCGAAATCGGAACCGGAACCTTATACCACGGTTCCAGTTCAGAACCGACGATTCCGGTTGGAACTGTCGGTTCTAACCGGATTTATTTAAAAAAAATTAAAAAACACTATAATATTTATTTTGAGAAAATTACACTTTTGGTCCTATGACTATATGGGGGGTGGTAATTTCAGTTCGTGACTTTTAAAACTAACAAATTTAGTCCTTTTAGTATGCTTTTTTTTAGCAGATTTGATCCTTCCGGCCAAATCACAGGCCAAAAGTCACCGGAAAAATGTAAATTATTTTTTATTATTTAATTATGAGGACAAATTGGTCATTTTCAAGTCATTTCTTCTTCTTTCTCTTCGGCTTGCCTTCGAAAATCCCGGTGTCCTGGGATATTCGTGAGCTTCGAACGCCATGAACTGTGGGCGGGGAGATGAATGTACAGACGATAGATATATATAGGTACAGAGGGGGAGGGGTGGGTGGTGAGGAGGATAGGTAGAATTGTGGATGGAGAGATGCGTGGCTACATAGTATACGAGGTTGTCATGCAAAAGTGCAAGAAGGCAGGGGATAGTCTCATCTGTTCTTGTCTCCACCTCCGCGGAACCGCCTGCTTAAAACTTTCATAAATGCTTGCCTGCAATTCATCATCAATAACATAAACATCAATAAAATTTTGATTTACCAGAAAACTCACAATTCTAAAAGATATATATTCTATAGGAATCGATATTGGACTTACCAAAAGACTGGAACTGCTACGTGAGAAATTCAGGAAGCTGCTTCTTCTTCCAACCCTTGCGAACTTCTTCGCCCTCTTACCGTAAGAATTGGGGTCGGTTACGGAGGAGGAAAAGTCAAAGCTGCCCTTGCAAACCCTTGCATTCTCCTTGGAGCTTTCCCATGACGATGGAGGCGATGATGATGATCGCTCTTTGCTCTCTCCCTTTCGGAGCCTGACGAGGCCTTCCTCGACGCTTCGGAACGACGAGAACGACGAGAGGCTGACGTCCGGCCAGTCCAGCACGGTGGTAGGCGAGGGCGTGGTGGTCATTTTAGCCGCCGATTCGTTGTTCATCAGCAACCTAGGAGGCAAGTCGAGGCTCCGGCAGACCGTCTTGGAGTTCCGCGGCTGCGGCGGCGATGCTTCGCAGGCGACGGCGGAGGTTCTCGGCTTTCCCGGCGCTTCCTCCCATAGAAACGGTATAGATGCCGGCGCGTGGAGCGGCGGCGTGAGTGCGGCTAACGGTACTCTGCTAGGCTTGCTAATGGGGAACTTGGTCAGAGAGAGCTTGGGAGTAGCTTTTGGTTCGTAATCCTCGTCGGAAAAAGCCATGATAATCGCCAGAACTCAGAACCCTACCCTCATTGCCGATCAGCTGCGCTGCCTTTAAATGGAGTTTGATTGATAGTGTGAAAATGGAACAGAGAAGCGAAATGGACATGGGACTGAGAAGGTGCAAAACGCTCCTGGCGCTTCTTATTCACGAGCCAAGTAACGGTCCTAACGGATACCTTTGACGGGCCAATAAAGTGACAAAACTGCCCTCCTGGTATATTGTGTCCCATACTGGCATACTTCAACACCATGAATTAGTCAACGGAAAATAATAAGTGTCGTTTTTGAAGCAAAATTTCATGATCCGATTATGTCGCGGAAATAAAATAATCAAACAGTGTGACCCACTTCAAGGGTCCCACGTCCTGGTCTAACAAAGCATCGGGAAAGATGTAAATAGAGGCTAAACCTTTGTTATTGTTTAATTAATTTGATTAATTCTTTTGTATTAGTTGACTCGTAAAAATCAAGATTACATAACAATATTTAAATTATAACTAAAAGTTTAACATAGTAAAGTGATGAATCCTATTCAAACATAAAAGAAATCACCTTGGTGGGTGGTGGTGCAATGGTGTTGTTGTTGTTAGATAATAAATATTGAAAGGGACTTGTAAATGGATTTCAAAATATTTATATGAAATTTGAGATTTGATGGAGAGCCGGCAAATTTGTTAATAATGTAGCATTATTTCTCATTTAATATTTCTATCTGCAAAATAATGATACAAAAATGACACATTGTGTCCAGGTATAATTAAATGTCTAAATTAATTAACTAATAAAAAATAAGTTCATAAATTTTATTTTGTTAATAGTTGTAAGGTGCATGGACCTATGCGCATTTTCTAGTCTTAGAGGTTAAGTTTTGCTTTTGAGGTCAAGCATTACTGGGAGAGAATGTCACATCTTCCACCATTCAATCAATCACTGCATTAACAACCACCACGTGGCACGATTCATTTTATCATTTAGTGGTAAAATGTTACATGGATTCCATCATCAACAAATCTTTAGCGTGCTACTTTTTACTTCGTCAGTACAAATAAGGGACTTCATTTGCATGTTACATGATTCTAATTTCACTTCATCTACATTATTACCAACTAAGTGAGAACAGTCCGAGTTCATTTATAATAAAAGACAAACTATTGTACTAAAATTCTACAATGTAACATATAGTATCTTGATTACTTGTTTCGTATAACGCTATCATTATCGGATTAAAAAAATGATGCACGATGGGCACATGCACTTAGTAGGATGAATGCAAAATGTTATAAACTTCTATCTCAATTAATGTCAAGAATAAGTGGTAAATTTGTGAAGATAAATTAAATGATAGGGTAGGCATATTAACACTGGCCCCACCTCCCATCTATTCTCATACCTAAATCGACTAAAATTGTTGATGTTTTGTCACATCTTTCTTCTTTTCCCTTAATAGCTAATGCATTTATGTCTTTTTTTTTTTTTTGAGAACAAAAAAAAAAAAAAAAAAAAAGACATAAATGCATTATTATCATGTGGATAACAATTCGTCGGCTACAACTCAACTGGTTAATTAATCTACAATAGTTCCGATGAAGTATGGATTGGAGGCCTATAAGACAAAAATGGGAGGCATGAATTAGGGGTCTGTATGTTAGTTGAAACACATTTCGTAATTTACCTCATTCACTAATCTCTCGACAAAAACAGTTAGTTAGAGACTCTTAAATTTGAGTGCAAAGTTATTAGGTCGATAAGATCAGAACTAGTAGTGTAGGAGCAGCTTGAAGAAGAAAGATGATCAAAAGTCCAAATAAACCATGTGAAGAGCACTGTCCATTTGATCTATGGAGCCTCCACCATGGGTCATAATGTCATATATGCATTTAATGCACTTCACATTTTCTTCTTGGTATGGTCCATGTCCAATTCAATATGCTTCACAAGAAAACATATTATTGCTACTTCTAAGGTAATGTATTCTCACTATGTAACTTTATTGATTAGTCAAAAGAGGGGGAAAAAACGATTAAAGGAGAAATGACAATTTTGTGTTTATTAACTGAAAAAATTCTTATTTTTGGAAAAATGAAAAGCAGAAAATGTTTTTATTTGTATATTTTTTCTAATTTGAAAACAAAGAATGGAGAACAGGAAATTGAAAATTGAAATAAACACAATCAAATTAAGGTTTAGAAAAGATCATAGCTGGATTTGACCTCTAATGTTAGGGTTTCGTTAAAAATCTTACAATCAAATCCATCACTTCACCCAAAAAAAAAAAAAAAAAAAAAGATTAAATAGAGAATCGCGGAGGACCAATGAGCAGAATTGAAGAATTTTGCCAGAAAAGACTGTCGGAGACGGCCTCATGCGCCGGCGCGTGGCGTCGGAGCATCAGCGACGTGGTGGTTCATGGAGGCTGAACCGGCGACGAGAAGGGATGGGTCAGGGTTGTCGGAGACTAGAAAAGGTATTGGTAATTTGGTAGCACTAATTTGACAAAAGAACTCACCAATAGCAAGTAATTTGAGAAAATAGTTTCGAATGAACAATAACTTCTACTGTTCACGAAAAAAAATGAAAAAAATTCAAGTTTTGGCTTCTGAATTTGGCGCTAAAGTTTAACTCTTAATATGGTGAAGACTTGATTCAGAACCCTTTAACATAACGCAAACTCCCTACACGAGTTGAATATTCAACATTATAATTGTATTAGTTCTTCAGTTTAACATTATTATAAAACAGAACACAGACATCTCTGTGTTGGTTGACTATAAAATATGTTTGGAGCATAATCCATATCCTTAAAAGATCACCAACACATGCCTGTCTGGGGCTAAATGCTAGAAGTCTAACACCAAAACCAATCACATCCCATATTAAAACTCAGTCATCTGATCTTTAGCTTGTACTATGTTGTCAACAACAGAACTGATGCTACATTACTACCCTACATTTAGAGTCCCACACTTGTCAAATACTACCTTAGGCATCAACCCATTTGGATGTTTGTCATTAGCCAATAATATAACAATGAAGATTCTACTTAAGTCAGGCAAATAACATCATAATTGACTTGGTTTTCTGGTTTGCCTGTGTTATAATCTAAGATTGGGTCAGTGTCACTCAACTGGGCTGTAAACAACAGCCAGGTGAACACAAAGTAGACCGAACAAGTTCTGATATCATGTTATGGAATACGGAGTATAATCTAAGATTGGGTCAAGGTCACTCAACTGGGCCATAATGCACATGGGCGAAACCACACTAAAAACTGAATCCAAGCAGTTAGCTAGTCTAATCCATGACCTTATAAACCCATATGTTTCTCACTTATTTTTCAATGTGAGAAGAGTACTGGTTTGGTGTGCAAATCAAGAATTTCATATGAACACTGTGAAAAGAGATTCCTATTGCAGGTGGTAAAATCACTATACAAAATTACAGATATATATATCTTAGATAGCTCTGCAGAAGATGGACCAAAAGCTTGCAGAAAGAAAGGGGTAAAAAGGTTGGTTGTTTACTTGTTTTCTTTACTACGTTGGGGAGATTTTCTATCGTGTCATGCCATCACAAGCCAGTGTGCCTTCAAGATCTCCGATGATTCGTGCTATCCTAACTTCAAGGCCTCTCTGAACTTCTTTGAAGAGAGTTTTGATGTTATCTGCAAACCTCTTCATGTCGAAGCAGTCGGGCCTGTCAACTTCTTGTAATGCTCCAACTAATCCCGAACCAACCTTTGTCTGAACTTCGATCAGCTTCTGTCCGGTTGCCACTATGTATCTCTGCAGTTGAAACGTTTCCTCGAGAAAGTGTTCCAGCATCTTGATCTGCTCCTTTGTTCTTGCTTTGTCGAGATTGTTTTCGTGCTGTGAACCAAGAACAAAGAAATGGATTACAATCATGAACAAATGGATGAAGGAAAAAGAAAAAAAACTTTTTTTTTTTGGGAATTGGAGCTTTTACCATTCTCTTGCAAAGATCATCGATCTTTCCCTGAAGAGACTCGTATCGAGCAACCTGCTTATTTAGTACAGATATCAGTGCATAGAATCCTTGCATAGTGAAGTGTGCATTGCCATTGCTTTCGCTATTTTCACATCGCTCTTGCTTTCCTGTCAAGCGCTCGAGCACGAGAAATTGCTGTTTCAGCATCTTGATCTTGCACGAGATTCCAAGAGCTTGAAGATTCACCTTCCACGCGGGGCTAATCTTAGGTGCAGAATTGTCTACCGAAGTTGATGTTTCAGCACCACGAGAATTGTCTGTGTTGAAATGTTCGTCTCCCGTTGAACTTGGCTGCAAGGCCACCGAGGCGCCCTCTTCTTGAATCTCCTTTATAGGATATTTTAGTGTCAATATGATGTCCTTGGGAGGATTTACTGCTGTAATTTCAGCCTCCTCACAGATTTCCTCGGTGCCCTTCTTGATTCCTTGCTCTTTCTCCCCCGGTTTTCTCTTTATAATCTTAACTTTGGACCAAATTGTATCTTGATCTTGCGGCTTCTGACAATCTGGGACATCCTTTGACTCACTCAGCCGCTCGTTTAAGGAATTTATTTCTGCTTCCCGGTTCGAGACCAATGCTTCCAACCTCATGTTCTCTTGTCTCAGTTGCGACAGGTCTTGATCCATAGCTTCGAAATGGGACCGAAGCCTCTTCGACTCCACTTCCATGCTAAGCAGGCGCCAACGAAAAGCTTCTAACTTCTCATCCTTGAGCCTCAACTGTTCTGCAAAAGCTTCGATTTCTAGGTGATGCCTCTGCTCAAATGCAATCCTGTATTTCTCAACCTCGGATCGAACCCAATTCTCCAAGTGCTCAATATCAGCTACAGATACTGCAGAAAAAAAGATTTTAAGGCATTGTCGATATCTTGAGTACTATTGACTCTGTTACAATACAGTATCTGTTCATAACTACTTTTTCAACCTACTGAAGCACAAAGAGTCAATACCACCTCCACTGAGGCTCGAATCCACAACCTCCCATATGGGAGAGCAACTGGTCAATATCTTAAACCATAACGAAGAAGGAAAAATCATAGAATCCACAACTTTTTTAGCAGATCATAATAGATACAAGGGAAACGAATTTATATGAATTTTAACAATTAGAATGAGAAATTGTGGCAGTCTTACTTTCATTGTCATTGGTCAAATAGTTGTCAGTTAGAGGAGAAATGAGTTCGGGATCTTTCCTACAGGCAGATTGTTCGTACTCGAGAAGATAATCTATCTTCTTTAATCTGTTCTTTCCAGAATTGGATGGCATAATCTCATTTGGGTGCAGCCCTTTACCATCTAACTTAGAATTTCCATGTTTAGACAAGAGATTTCTTAACGAGAGCCTTTCGTGCCTGGACTCAGAGAGGTGTTTCCATCTTTCGGTTTCTAGCTCGGCCTGTTTTCTCTTGGATTTAGATAGCTTCACTTCCTGCAAAAGCATTTGTTTCTCTGCGGTGTCCAATTTGGACTTTCGAAGCATGGCGGATAAGATCTGATCTTTCTGTTCCAAGTCCTTTCGCACCTTAACGAGGTCCATAGATAGCTTCTGCATCATCAAAACCGACTGCTCCTTTTGCTGCAAGACCGAATCGAGCTCCTCCTTAGCAGCCTCGAATTGCCTAGCAGCACGGCCCATCTCGGCTTCGAGCTGGCGCTGGCTCGACACGAGCTCGATGAAAGCGGTCTTGTGCTTCGTGATCTCGGTGCCATGCTTTTGAGCTTCAACCTTTGCAGCATTTCTCAACTCTTCTGCAACGTTTTCGGCCTTCCTCAATTCATCTTCGAGCTCCTTGCATTTCTCTCCCTCTTCCTCAATCGCCTTATCTTTCAACTGCAAAGCAGCCTCGTTTTCCCTCAACTTTTCGTTCAATTCGGAGACCGTTTTGTCCTTCTTCATCCCGACAACTCTCAGCTCGTGCATCAGGCCGCCAATTTGCTGCCTGAGTTTCTTCCTCTCGTTAAACCAGCACTGCTCCTGAGCTGCATAAATCCCAACAACCTTAGCATTCGCCTTTGCATCCTCGCTTCGTTGTTTCTTCAGCTCTTCAATCTCTCCCCGAGCATTCTCGAGCTCAAACGTTAGATCAGACATCCTAGTATTATTAGCCTCTTCCTTTTGAATCCTCCAAACAAGCAACCCTAACAACTGGGCACTTCCTTGGAGCATTTTATTCCTGATCTCTGACCAATTCTCATCACATGATTCAGAATCTGGCAAAACCCTCAGTGCAAAGAATGCACAGGAAACCCCAAAGAAAATTGGCCCAAAATTTTCCTTCCCTTCTAAAGAACCTGAATCCCCCTTGTCACCCATTACACTGTAACATCAATTTCTCCTAACAAACTAAAAAACAGGAACAAGAGATTAGAACTAAATCAGAACATTGTATCCTATGGAAAGCACAATCAAGAACTAAAATCAATCAAAAATATAGATGCCATAGAAAGACCCAAATCAAGAAATGGACTCAATGAAGGAATACTACTGTTCTTGAGACAAATGTGAAATTAAGCAGAAAGAAGAAGGTGGGTGTAAATTAAAGATAACTTACAAGATCAGAATGGTTAAAGCCTAAATAAAGGCCCCTTTGAGCAGAAAATCCCAGAGAGCAGAACTACTGGGACCTAATTATAAGAGCAAAAAAGACCAAAACTTTGAACATTCTGATTTCTGAGCCTGCAACCATCTGCAGAAAAACTGGCAGACCAGCTTGTTTTGTATGAGTTATTGTCAAAACATAACCCACCAGACCAGAACGCCAAAAGCATGACTTTACAAGAGAAAGACTGCAAAATTAGTTAAAGAAGAGATGGTACCATGGGAAAAGCAGTAGAAAAAAGTGAGGCTAATTGTTCCCTGGTTTTCAGAAGCTGATGACCCATAAAACCCCACTCTTGCAGGCCTTTTGTCCTTCAACTCACCCCCACTTCCCCCTTATTTTCTTCTTCCGTTATGGCTCTCAATGTGAGGGAGCATTGGTGCTAGATTCCTGGTGGTGGGCTTCTCACCATTATTATTGATTTATTGCCCAGAAAAATCCCAGCTCAAAATATTTTTTTTTAAAAATGGAGTTATAAATATTTACATCTCTATCAATCTTGCAGTGAGACCACCGCAAAATATTGTATCGTCGCCAGGGTGGCCTTGCTGTAATTTGGTGGGTGCCCAGAATCCTTCACTGCTCCCTTAAACTATAATCATTTTTCCCTTTTTTTCATCTCTTCATTATATTACCAAGCAATCAATCTGTTATAATTTGGGAGTGTGGTTGACTGGAAGAGACTCATCCATCCTTAATCAAATGTTAATAATTCAATCTACGTGCCTACAATTCTCAATCGAGTGGATTAGTCATTGTGTCTGACCGTGAAAACCATGAGTACACCAAAAAAAAAAAAAATTAATATGTCATAATTTGTTACCTATACTAATATTTTACAGAGTGTGTCTATACTATTTTTTTTGTGTGTGTATATATAATTTTCACCGTCGTACACAGTAACTAATCTCCTGGTTGAATTGTAGGCACGTCTTTAGATGGGACGATTTAGTGACTAATCCCCTAATTGAATTGTAGACACGTCCGTGGGACAACTGACCTGGAGATTTAAGGTTGCTCCATTGTTTATGAATTAGTATTTAGTATAGACACACTCTTACCAATTCATAATTAAGTTGTTTTCGGATCTTATTTCAAAGATAAACTTTTTAATCTCAAATATTCAATAACTCGTTTAAGAAAAATCAAACTACATATCAAGCACTATGATTTGATCATTACATCTTGTCCTACCTATTCTAAACAACTTTCACAAAAATAGTTTAAGTGGGCAATTTTGATTGAATGTGTCACCCACCCTAAATAATTTAACAAAATTTTGTCCTTGTACGTCCAATATGCACCACATGAAGCTTACTACAACTATATAAGCAAGCAAGGGCCAACAAGCAGCAGTATCAACTTGTCACTGTATATTTGATTCCACTACATACAATTTCATCACCCATAATTGAGGCCAAGGAGCCCGCATGAGGAGCTCAGTTGATCATAGGGGTGAAGTTTGAGAACAATGATTTGGATTTGAGTCTCATCTGTGGCAGTGTGGGAGCAACATCTCAAAGTGAGAGAGGCTCTTTGTGCCTAGTAAGCAAATGTTTAGCCTCTGTGTTCAACTGGGTTCATGATTTACATCTTCCTAATGCTCTGTCAGATCGAGGCGTGGGGGCCCTTGGGGTTGGAATTTAACCTTTTGGGAACAATAATTGAGGCCAAGGAATATATACCTACTACCCCAACGTTGTGGTCTAGTAGATACACAGTCTGACTCTCTTTCACTAGTAGGGTGGGGTTTAAACTTCACCTTAGAAATCTGAAGATCGATTTACCTTTTCATAGGTCTGAGGTGGGTTCATGAACTGCTCTCTTATATTAATATGGTGGGAATTTGAACCACACTTTAGACATATGGTGATCGATTTATCTCTTCATGGACCTATGAGTAGACCCATGGAGTTTGAGATGTAGTATCAATTTATCTCTTCATAGACCTATGACGGTTTTATGGATTGTTCTCTTGCATTAACATGTTGGGAATTTGAACCACACCTTAAACATACATGGATTGATTATCTTTCTATGAACCTATGGGTAAATTCATGAAGTTTGTGATATAATCTGGCGAAACTGAAAATGTGAGTCTGAACCTATGGGTAAATTCATGAGGTTTGTGATATAATCTGGCGAAACTGAAAATGTGGGCCTACTAACAGCTGCACACTCTAGTGCCTGCCCACCTAGTGGGTCAACATTAACTTCCATAGCTCAAAATAGCCATGGCCACCTAAGCTTTTGTTCAGAGGAATGAAAGTGATGTCACATGCAGAATGAGGTTCATGAAATGATGATGAAATTGGAGTGTCCTGTGTGTTTGAAATGGTCCAGGTGGGTGTTAGCTGAAGCTGAGGAATAACCCAAGTCCTATCATTATGAGATTTGACAGTGTAATTCCTAGCTTGTAAAGTGGGATGGTGAGATTTGAAATGGAATATAGGGGGATTGAGGACCACTTTCAATGTAGCTAGCTGGTCAAATTTATTGTTTGAAGTTTAAAAGTATGAAATGATTTGAAAAGAAGATGGTAAATGACATTAAGTTCTCGGTATTTTTTATTATATTCGAGAAAATGAGGTAAACCATCCAAAAACACTCTAAGTGGCAAAGAATTAAAATGATGAGTTCAAATTGAGAATGAAGGTCAATAGGCAAGTTAGGAGTCAAACTTAAAATTTTGTGATTAAATTAATTGTCCAACTAACTCGACTAGAGTTGCTCAGTTTGCAACTCACTCTCAACTCTTCATTTACTAGAGGTAATGATGTGGTCCATCTTTTAATTGATAAATGCTATTATTTTGCTAGCCTAAGGTGAATATTAAGGTCTAGTTAAGGGTGTGTTTGGAAACTTGAAAAATGCTTTCTGAAAAATAAGTCATTTTTCAAAAAAATATTTTCATTTTCAGTGTTTGGTTACATTTTATATTTCTGGTTCCGGACGGAAACAAACAAAGAAGATGGAGAATATGAAAAAGTCGTTTTGCGTTTTTCAGAAAATGACTTCCCCCAAAAAAAAGGGAAAGTCAATTTCCGAAAAAATGAACTTGTTTTCCCTTTGACCATAAATCAATTTCTGACCATCATTTTTTCTCCTTGCCAAACACTAGAAATTCAAAAAATAATTTTTCAGATTTCCAAACACAACCTATATTTATTTAATCTTCTTGAATGAAAATGTGATCGGAGTTATTGGTGTTAATTAGTATAAATTAGAAAATTTCTTATAGAGGACCACCTTCGCTTTCATTCATCATGGAGGGGTTTGGGCAATGGGCAAAACCAGATAGGCAGACAAAAACCTAGTTTCATTTGAGAAAAACTGTAAAGATGGGAGATTGTTCAAGAAAAGTAGTACAATCAAATCCTTAGTTAATTATAGGAATAAAAGAGCTAGATGAAAGATGACCAATAAATTCCTACCCTTTTTGTATAGTTATTCCATCTGTGATCTGCCCTTGGAGTTAGGGCTGGATGACAAGGATGGTTTTTAGATTGTGTAAAAAGCAACAGCCATTTGGGTCCCCCCAAAAGCTTGTTTCATTTTTTTTTTTTTAATTTAAATCTCCCACCTTCTCCTTTTTCTTTTTCAAGTATAGTTTCATAATAGTTAATGGATTGATCAATTTGTTATATATGCAAAAGTTTAGCCTCTCACCACTTTTGGATAGTGGTAGAAGATATAAATTGTGATATGTGTCTCAATAACGAGTCTGTAGGCTATTAATTTATACTTTTCACTCTTAGTTTTTGTTTGAGAGTTGGAGAAGATAAATCTCGAAATGTGTAATGTTTTTTAACTAAAAAAAATTGTGGATGAGGTAAATCACGAGACGTGTCTCAACTGACTTACAAGCTCCAATATGCTTGTATACATGTACTAGCAATCCAAAACGTATTAATCTAGCTTGGTTGGTTAATCAGTTGAGATGTGTCCCGATGGTATCGAACAATATTAATATCAATAGTCATTGTTTTAAAAATCGCGCCTAGGCACCAATTAATCGGCGGGCGCTCTAGGCGGTCCCCAGACGCTTAGCGATTTTTTCAACATTATCAATAGTATTAAATACAGTCATGTGCTATCTTAAAAGAGTTGCGAGTCAAGTTTTTCTTGAATCGTTATGCGTTGGACCCGTGTCCAGCATGCATGCTGGACACGGATAACAGTGTCGTTAGGCACTGTTATCTCCTTCTTTTTTTTTTATAATTTCAGACCGCTTCGTTATAGGAGTATATGTTCATAATTTTATTACTATATGTTAATAACTGTACATTCATAACTCCATAACTGTACGTTCATAACTCTATAACTGTACATTCATAACTCCATAACTGTACATTCATAACTCCATAATTGTACATTCATAATTTTCGAAGTTCTATGTTCACAATTTTAGAGCTCTATGTTCATAATTTTATCACTATATGTTCATAATTGTAAGTTCATAATGTCAGAGCTCTTTGTTCATAATTCGATCAATAACTGTACATTCATAATTTCATAACTGTAGATTCATAATCTCATAACTGTAGATTCATAACTCCATAACTGTAGATTCATAACTCTATAACTGTACATTCATAACTCCATAACTGTACATTCATAATCTTCGAAGCTCTATATTCACAATTTTAAAGCTCCATGGTCATAATTTTATCACTATATGTTCATAATTGTAAGTTCATAATGTTAGAGCTCTGTGTTCATAATTTCATAATTGCATAAATGTATATTCATAACGGCATAATTGTACATTCATAACGGCATAACTGTACATTCATAATAAAAAAAAAATAATAATAACGCCGTTAACGGCAAAACGCGCGATTTTTTTTTTTTTTAACTAAATGACGCATTTTTTTTTTTTTTTAAACGACGTCGTTTTGGGCCCGTGTCCACAATGAATTGTGGACACGGGTCCAGGGCATAATTTGCCGTTTTTCTTTATGTAATAGTTAAACTCAGTGAACATAATCTAAATTAGTATTAGGGCCCAACTTAGCCCAATATACAATTAGTAGCAGGGCCCAATGAGGCCCATAATTCAGAATACCCAATTAGTATTAGGGCCCAACTTAGCCCAATACTATGAGCTCGAAGCGGGCCATGCCTGAACAACCTCCAGAAGCGTCTGTTATCTAGTCTTTGACCAACGTGCACCGACTATAAAACCCAAAGGGGATCGATGCTAACGTACGCTCGAGGCGTAGGAATCACTGTGAGATCGAACGACGTCCGTTCTTCAAAATCACTCACTGCAAGTCTGCAACACAACCGAAACCCTAGCTCCAAATCTGTATATTTCGTTTCGTGATTTCTCATTTTCTAGCGTTTTGTTTCGCAATTCAGAGGGCCAATAACATCACCAATGGGAATCGGTGAGCTGAAGATGGAAGAGATGTCTTTGTCTGCTCTATTCGAACAGGCTCGAAAAGTTCATTCTATGGCCACTGAATCCACGGCTGATCAGGTAATTTCATATTCGGTTACGTTTGTGCTTTTTAAAATTAAAATCTACCGTTTCTGTCTCATGATTAGGTGTATGTATGTTTTCTTCCTTGGGTGTTTGATCGTTAGGATACGGTTAAAAAAGGATGCGAACTGTTGAGGAAATGCGAGGAAATGATCAGTAAACTAGGGCTGTTTTCTGCTAATGAGACAAAGGACGAGATTAGCACTGTGAATCTCAAATTTCTTCTGGTAAGCTGTAAAATTAGGATTCGAAAGTTTTGTTTTTGGGATTCATTGCTTTAAATTATTAGAGAAGTGACACCTGATATGTTTTGTGGGCAGCAAAAAGCTGAATAGCCCTGAAATTAGTAATTTTGATGAAAATGCATATGTTAATATTTAGAGTAGATGGGAATGCTTGTAAAGTTGTAATTGCTTCTTTGCAGGTGCCATATTACCTTGGTGAGTTGATGGAAAAGATTTCAGGAGGGGACAGACTGCAAATTCTTAAAGCTTCACAGGCTATGTTAAAGGTGAAAACTATGTTTTTTCGGTGAATTATAAACATTTTTGCCCAGTCATGTTTTCACCTATCAAAGAAAGCATCACACTAACATATTCCTATCACTCCTCCCCATATGGTTGCACATCCAGGAGTTTATTGCATTTTGTGAGGCAATGGAGCTTGTTCCTGAAGATGAACTGGAGACATCCATTCCAACTGGTCCCAATGCTTTTGCAGATCGTAGAGCAAAGAAGGTATGCTTTTATTTGTACATTGCAGCATTTTACATGATATGATATTTGCCAATATGGTTAGATGGTTATTCACTTATTTGTATACTCATAATCCCCTCATTCTGGTTCAGATTGCACGTTTCAAGCGCCAAAAGGCAGCAGAGTCAAAATTGCTTGAACTGAAAGAGCGGAAGGAGCGCCGTGGGCGATCAACTAAAGCATCTGCTTTGTCCACTCCTGTTGAGGTGGGTGAAGAAGATGTACTGGACGAAGATGGAGAAGAAGAAAGAGAGGTTAGTCACTTATGCTTTTACCTTATGGCATGCGCCGATGAGCAGTACCTATAAGTTCATGGTTACCCCTCTGCCCATGCTGCAATTATCTAGTGTTATACTCATTTGCTTCATTAGCCATTACTATGTGTCAAGAATTCGTTTGTTTTCTTTGGGTGTACTTTGTGTTTTACTGAAAATGCTTTCTTACTCCAGGTTTGGCTTACAACTATCTCTTTGTCTCTTTGTAAGGTCGGTTCAAATTTGCAATACTTATGGTGTTATTCCAATTTCCCTATTGTCAATTCATTATCTTTAATTCTTTATTTAACCACCTCAAGTAATTGATGCTGCAGGCTATTGATCTACTAGAAATGCTAAAAAAAGAAGAAGAAATGCTCTCTGCTATAAAGGAAAAGCAGCTACAGGTACTAATTTGATCAAGACATTCTCATTTCTTTGCCTGCTTTGGTGAAAATAACCATGGATATAAGTAGTTAAACAAACAGTATGAATGACTTTAGCTGCCATTCCTTGTTTCTGCACCCATGAACCAATCACACCCTTAAGTCATAGTGAATAATGATTTCCATTAAATCCATTTAAGTTTATTGTCTTAAAGAAGGGCTGACAATAGTTTCACATCCTGTATTATTCTATCATTGGTTGGATTTGACCATACGTGTATAGTATATCCTTTGTTCCCTTATTACCTTGTATATAGATATGAAAATCACCCAGTGGCAACACTTTTACTGCAGGAAGGAGAGACACTGATTTCCCAGGCAATTCTTGATGAACGCACAAAGAAGGCAGAGGCTTGGCATCGGGATGCTGCTGCGCGATCACAATACATTAATGCAGCAACGCCTATCACATGTGCTACTTTTGCACAAGATGTTATAGAGGGGAGAGCAAATGTGTCACAGGTGCATGAGCATAAACACCAGCCCTTAATATTTGGACCAGCTAGTCTTGTTGGCAGGAACCCTACTACTGAACGGGAAAGAATGGCTGCACAAGTTTTCCAGCCACACTATAGGTGCGTAATATGCATTAAATTTAGATTTGAATGATAAAGTAGATTTTCGTGATTGGGAGTTGGAAAAATGAGATGTAAAAAGAAAAAGAAACCTGGAATCTACTACCAGATGGGGATGTTCAACAAACCGTGTAATGCTAACTAAAACTTTGACTCTCAATTTTTAGAATGCCAACCATGAGCATAGAGGAAGCTGGGTTAAAAGAGATGGAGATAATGAACAAATGGCAAGAAAGGAATGTAAAGCTGATGGAAGAAGCAAATTCATCGTGGCACAAGGAAAACCGCATGCCTAGGCCAGGTGAAGATGATGAAGAAGATGAAGATGCTGCTGAAGAGAGAGCAAGGGCGTGGGATGATTGGAAAGATGACAACCCTCGTGGTGCCGGTAACAAAAAACTCACACCCTGTGGCTAAACACCCAAGCAGTGGTAGTTGCAATCTTCCAAGATGTCCTGGAATTCAATAAGTCTACAGATTCCACCCCAAGCCTTCCATGCACCGTTTAAGTGTCGCGTCAATTTTGTCACTGAATTTGGAAACTCATTTCTTTCACTTCACTTCACTTCACATGTATTTTACTTTTCGAGTGGGTTAGGAGCTAGTCTTGTATAGAAGTTATATTTATAATTCTATATTTGCATAGCTTTTAGGGGACAGGATCACAATTTGACAGTTCAGGGTCGGTCTCTACAGTATGCAGCCCTATCCAAGAATGCATCTGAGATTCTCTCCTCTCTGTACTCAGTTGCATCATGTAAAATTGAATTATTCTCTTTTTTGTTTACTTGTTACCTTGATAATAAACGATGCTAAAGTAATGGAGAGATACTTGAGAAAGTTGACAGCTTTCAAGGGTTTACAACTATGGGTTGGGGTGAATTTATGTATCTTCTTGAGTATTCTCGAGTAAGAGTTAAATTCTGCTGTATGCAGTTTACATGTCTTCTGTCTTCTCGAATAGGCACGACCAATCAAAACTGAATTTACGTGTCTTCTCGAGTATTCTCGAATAAAAGAATTTATGAGTGTTCTCGAATAAAAGAATTTGAGTATACACTTTACGTATCTTGTCGAGTAAGAGTTGAACAATGTAGGCAGTTTACATATTTTCTTGAGTAAGAAATGGCACAAAAGTATATACAGTTGTACAGTTTATAGAACAGAACATATATATATTCTTCAATTTCAGTCTTCAGATGAAGCATAGCATTGCGGGGCATGAATAAAAACACAGAACAGGAGAGATCTGTTTCAGTACATGTAAGTGCAATTGAATGAATGCTGAAAGAAAGGGAACAATCCTTGAAAAGTGGTATATATATGTGTGTGTATGTAAATTCATTTATATGTGCATACAACTTATAGCACAATATAAGAAAAAGGTTGTACGAGGAACACATAAAATTGGCTCAAGTAAAGATTACCCGGGGGAATTGAAGGTGAACCCATAATTACCATGAATCCCGCCAAGAACAGCAGCACAACTTTGCATTGAAAAAAGATGTTCAACCAACGCACAGATGAAAAAAGGGTTATTCTAATCTTGGTTGGTTATTGTTCATGATGATGATCATCATCCATCGATGCATTTGAAGCCCCTGCAAACCCAGAGCCAGATTACGAATAGAATGGTGCAGACGATGAGGTCGAGGGAGAGGACCACCCACACCTGTTTCTTCCACACTTTCTTCGCTCTCTGGTGTCCCAATTCGCCGGAAAATGCAGCGTTTTTGTGCATTGACACTGAGAATTCCCTGCTCAATTCCGCCCCGTCGTCGCCCATATTCAGCTTCCTCTCATTCCCCAAATCCATTCCGCTCTTCCTGGACTCCCCCAACAGCCGCTTCTTTTTCTTCTTCAAGTTATTCGCCTCGCCGAACAGCGTCGCTGACCTCATTTTTCTCCCGCACAGAGAATCCGTGCTGCCGCTTCCGCTCCCGCTGCCGCTCCCTCTCCTCTCGTGGTGCCTTTGCTTCCTCGGCGAATGGGGAGCCTCCTCCGTATCCGACATCGAATCCAGCAACTGGTGGAAAATCGGATTGAATTCCCCTTGAAAACAATGCGACGCCACGTGTTCCAACCGTTTCTTCGTCGAACTCCCCTCCACGAAGCAGTCGAACCCCTCCTTCACCCCCCTGAGGAACGCCAAACCCTCCGATTTCTCCAGCCTCTCGTCGAAGATCGCCAAGTACACAAACGGACTCTCGATCAGGAACGTGTAGGTCCGCTGCCGGACGGTGTGCGTGAACATGGAATGGAACTCCGGCGTCTTCTCCAGGCACCTCATCGCCAGAGCTCCGAGATCGGCATCCTCGGAATTGAACTCCGCGACCACGATATTGTCCTTGGCAACGCAGGCGTAGCGGACCAAACTCGGATCCGAAATCATCATTCGAATTGGATTGGATTCTAACTTCCCAAATTCACCAACCCGATCCGACTCTCAAATCCTCCAATTTCGAATGCCGATCAAAAAACGCCTGCGAAAACCTTCGCAGATATATTCTCTCCGCCTACGATATCCCTACCTGGAGATCCAAGCTACACTTCTTCTATATATATAAACGTGTAAATCGAGGAGACAAACCTATAGGGGAAATGCGAAATCTGAAAGAAGAACAACAAAAATGCTTGGAGATTGATGCATATAATTCTAGAGAGAGAAACAGTTAGGGTTAGGGGGAGGAGAGAGAGAGAAATGGATTGTTCCCTCCGAGCATGAAGATGAGCTGTGATAGGCCATTGTCGGAGAAAGGAGAGAGAGAGAGAACAATCTCAATTACCTCTTTCTTTAAAAAAAAAAATTAATAATTGTTTTTTTTCATTATTTAATAACAATAATTCCGCAATACTTGGTACCAAGGAATAAATTAATTATAATCCCATATTTAAATACTAAAAACCCTCAAATAGTGCTGTCATAAATCGTTATTTATTTACTTCAGATGTATGATAATAATATCTTATTTTTAATAAATACTTGAGATACTTCTGAGACACAATGTGATCTGATTGCCTATTATTAAATGAAGCTTTGTCTCAACAACAATATATTTCTATGTATTATTATTTTGTGTAGTGTGGTAAATAGCCGTTAGCTGATTTGGTTAGTGGGTTTGACTGTTGATAGAATTAACAAATTGCAAAAAAAAAGTGTTTGATAAATTAGCTATTAGTTGATAACTGATTACATACAAAATGACTTCTCAAAAAGCTGACGAAAAAATTACTTTGAGTAACTTTTTGAATTTTAGCATTTTGGAGCAATAAATCATTACAAAAAGTTAATAAATCAAACACGCATATTGATTGTTTAACTTAAGTCAAACAACTGGTCGAATAAATTAAAATTAACTAATATGTTAACTATTTTACCAAACATGACCATTATTTTTCTAGAGTATATTTAAAGTATAGGTCGAATCAAAATTTTACTAATATAAAATTAGAATATACATCGACTTAAAAGGAAAGTTATTATGAAATTTACATAGTAACCTTTTTTTTTTTTTTTTTAGATTCAACATATTAATTTAAGTTAAAGCATTATAACATCTCAAGATTAAAATGCACTATCGACTTTAAATAAAGGTTATTATAAAATTTACATATCGTTTATTAGGAAAACTTCTATCCAAATTGAATCTCAATCTCTCTCTCTCTCTCTCTCTCTCTCTCTTTTGTTGTTGGATCTAAACAAGGGAAACAACCATGCAAGAAATTAACTAGATAGTTAGAACATAATATCGCCAAGAAATAATCATCTTGTCTTCACATGAAATCTTACAAAGAGGGAAGGGGGTTCTCGATCACTCATAAATCCCAAGCATATTAAATAAGATAAAACATATCATTTTTTTTAAACTTTTACTGTTGTACAAGTTTTATTGTACAACATCACATTATTCGTTGAAATTTATGGAGTAAAATATTATATTGAAAAGATGTCTATAGCTAAACTAATGTTGTGGTTAGGCATGTTTTGGTCCAAATCCAATGCACATACAAGCAAAACATAAATGGAAAGAATCATGTGCCCAACTATATGGCCAAGTGCAGAGGATATGCCTATGGGCTATAGGCACATAGCACATTAATAGGTTGGTGGTCGGGAGACATACTTGATAATGGGAAAGGAAATCGACAACTTTTACCTTCGTGAAAGTTATAATTTTTTGTGTAAGTGATAAACGTTTGATTTTCAGCAATAACAATTAATATTGGTTAATGCTTGGGAGGAGGGGGGATTGTTGGGCAGGACCAGAGATTGTTGAACGGAGATCGGTAAAGTCCTTAAGGACCAAATCTAGCACCCCGCCTATCTCGAACAACGTTATATAATTTTTAGTGTAAATGATAAGTGCTTGATCCTAACAAATCAAATTCAGAAAACAACGGGGAAGGAGTATCGAAAGAATTCAAAAGCTTTAAGGTTGGACAATCGACTCTTGTAAAGTGCATTATGTTAAAGAGAGCTTCGATCAAGTCAGTCTATTCTCCAAGTAAGAGTCAAATTCTGTGAACACAACTCGGGGCAAAACCAGATTAATTAGATTCATATATAGTGCATAGTGTGGCATGCAGCACTTTAAAGAGAGTACAATTTCCTTTCCATTTTTGAGGCTTGACAGGTAGGGAAGAAGGGTGCAAATAGACAGACAAAAAGCATTATGATTAGGCAAAAATACATATCAGAAAAAGTTCCAAGAATGTCAGTTTTACTATCTGGTAAATGGTAAAAAGACCAGAACCATAATACCATGCAATAGTTTCATATATGGTAACCCATAACATAAAAGAAATTAGAATCTTCAAGAGATCATATTCAAATTCAAATGGACAAAGATTCCATACCTCCATGACAATGCTCACTTTCAAAAAGACAATGTTGCCTGGCTCCCTGTAAAGCACATGTTGCATCATGGATATCACCTTTCTTTTTAACAAACCGACAAAACTCGGACCAAAACAAATTTCCTTAAAAAATATATATAATGATGTTTTTACAATTTGTTGTCACATGGGAGGGCTCTATGTTCTACACACAAAAAACCCTTTCTCCAACTATGCTAGTGCGCTATAGAGACATCAGAAAGAAGCCGGTTCGACAAAAAAGAATGGCGCAGCATAACTCACTGCTATCGCACCACGAGCTATGAATCTATCACGGGGATTTAGTCCCGATGGAAAATCAAGAAATCATGCTTTGCTCGTTTGGTAGCACCAGTTCTTTCTAGTTCGGCCATCTAACATATGGGGGGTCCATGAAGGCCCATCCAAAGATTTGTTCATATTGAACCGCTGCGTTTTCCCACGAATAATCCCTCGCCATTCCCCTCTGCATCAATCCCTTCCACGATTGTTTGTGTTCGGTATAAGTCCCGGTAGCTATTCTAAGTGTCTGCAAAACCGGGAAAAACAACAATTCTCAAGGAAATTCTAATAACCAAAGTTAAGTTCTAATAAACAATGTTAGAACAAATAGTGCAATGCTATATGTTCAGTTGAGACAAATTTTCGAGCGGGGAACTTACAGCCAACAGATTTTCTCTTGATAGAGGAGAAAATGCCCACCTGTTTAACGGTATAACAAAAGCATCATGAATACACTAAAGTAAATCAAAGTGGGTAGAAAGAGTATACAAAAGAATATAGTATTGGTTTGTTCCTAATAAAATCAGTGTTGAAAAAGATGTTGGGCGCCCATTTTTTTTTTTTTTTTTTTTAGGGGTTATTCGCCCAAAAAAAAAAACCGGGGTTCGGCTGCCTAGGCGCCCGGCCACG